CCTAACCCTAACCCTAACCCTAACCCTAACCCTAACCCTAACCCTAACCCTAAGGATAATCGACTTAATTACGTATAACCTATTAATTAGGATAGTTTACTTAATTACTTATAATCTATTAATTAGGTTATAATATCCTCTTTATACTCATTCTATAAATTTAGAGCTCTTTAGTATAGTAAAAGTAATAAAATATAGTTTATATAAGTAGTAAAGCCCTCTAAATATAGGTTATATCTCTACTACTATTATTTAGAGCTAAAACAAGCCTTATACCCTTCTTAACTGCCTACCTTCACCAGCCTAATGCTAGCTTAATAGCAGTAGTAAGCTTCTCAGCTCCTATAGCGTTAGTTGCAGCATTTGGGTGATAGTCGCACCCAACTTCCGCTCCCTGCTGAGGCCACTCTACGAAGTGCGCCTTGATCCCACATAGTCTTGCTACCGACTCCTTAAGAACCTTGATCTGTGTTGACCTCTGCGCATCTTCGACTGATGGGTAACTATCTCCTAGTGCGGGAGATGAAAGGAGGAAGAACTGTGCCTCGGGGTATTCACCGTGCACCTTCTTAACGAAAGCAACCATAGCTTTGACCAGTTCCGCCGGGTTAACCGGATCGCGGACCCCCAGGTAGCTGAAATCATTTGTTCCGAGGGCAATGACAACAGCATCGGGAGTCCAAGTACGAGGAAAGGTATGAGAGCCATCGGCGTCGTTAGCGCCGTAGCGGGTATACATAACCGGCATAGGAGGCGAGGTATCAGGTGGTGAAGACGCATAGTTGCGAATGAGACCCTTGCCGCTCCATGCCACAACGGAATAATCGGCCTCGAGGGCGCGAGCCGTCACTGCTCCATAGGTCTTCGGGTTGTTCTGTACGAGTGCCGAGTCGGTGCAGGGGAAGATACCGTCGAGGCCGTACCCTACAGAGTGCGAGTCGCCAATGACCTCAATTCGGCGTTTAGGGTCGGGAGGCGAGAGGAACTGGCCATCCGTGGTCACATCTTTGACGCGAAACGTCCCGAAGTACGTCTCAGAGCGCTTACGGAGCTCGACCGTGTGGGTTCCGTCGGGCAGAGAGGGCGTGTCGATTGAATCGCCCTCGACATTGGCGATGAGGATAGGTTCGCCGCCGTCGATGGTCAGATCTGCGCTGGTGGTGCCGGTTACATTTCGGATGTTGATTGAAGCCCGGGTGCCCTCGAAGGTGAAGATAACGCCAGTGCTAGGCCATGTGAGCTCCCGGGTCTCGGGATTCACTCGCCCGACGAAGCGAAAGTTCTATTCACGTCAGTTCAAGGTAGCATAGTGCGTCTCGCTGTACCTACGTCTTCATCTGGCTGTGCGGCTTTGCCCTGGGGCAGCGCCGTGACCACCGAGACGATTGCTAGGAGGACTGTAGTCGTCACCTTCATTTCGAAAAAGGATAGTTGAGAGAATATGCCCGTCGAGGAAGGTTAACTTGCCGACTCCTAGTTATAAACATGATCAAGCAGCTTCCTCTTAGCCGAGATGTAGATCGGCTGCGCCAGGCTTGACAATGCGGGTAAACGTAGGAACGCACTTTAACCGCCCCATTACGACGCGGCTTCACAACATCCGCACTTCTTTTAGGGAATTTCTCCAGACTCCCCGCCCGTTATTGCGGGGTTTTCCATTAGGTTCGGAGAGCATGCTTCCACATGATGTCTCAATTGGGTGCGGAAGAGTATGCGAGCCTTCTTCGCATCAAAGTGTGATATGAGTCGTCCCGGCAGCAAAACTCACATCACCGGCTGACAAGGGATTTACTTACTCATAAGATATCTACAGAATGGCGAGAACCTCAATTACCCTCACAGGCCGAGTCGACCTCACTTAACTGGCTGGATAGACCTATCGCCAACGCGCCCCAAAGGTCTGCTTGCGCGATAATTAAGATGTTGGATCCTGTGCTCCACAGATACAAACGCTTACATATCTTATCCATCTTCATTAATGACAGTGCAAGTCTCTAGAACTGGCATGACTTAGGAGCTATATCACTATCCTTAGATAACGTGGAGTAGTGCTGGCAGCCTTTTTCTCTCCACGGGTAACATGACAAAATTCGGCCAATCCATACTTTCCTCGGTGATCCTAACGCCAACTGTAACCCGCGAGTGGTTCAATCAAGTCAGCTCTACCTTCGGGCTCAGGCAATCTGTCGGTATGCCTTGGGAGATTTACTCCATGCTGCTGCCCCTCGCAGGAGGGTCGAACCTAACCCGCCGTGTCGACCTCTACACCAAGAGCGGCGGCATAGGCGCTCGCACCGCCTACATCGTTTTTTCGCTTGATTGCGACTTCGGATACCTGCTTTTCATGGTCTCTATGAATTCTGCCAGCGGTGAACTCGGGAGACAGCTCCTCGAAACGGTCGCCCAAGCTATAGTCCCTGCCCTTGAGCAAGCCGAAAGACAAAATGCGGCTCGCAGGTTTACAGGGAGCTACAAGGATGCAGAGACGGGAATGGACCTTAACATAGTCTTTGCCGACGAGGTGCCTGGCCTGCATATGTTAATTGGACTACTGGAGATCTTGACGTCCTGCAACCGTTTGCCTCCTTGAGAGATGGATTCAGGATTAAGGGGCGACTGACAGTCTACCCCACGGGTATATCTTCGGACAAGAGATTACCTTTCCATAGCGTGTTCGAGAGAGCAGGTCTTGTCATGGATACTCTCGCTCGAGATCCAGTGTTTCTGCAGGGCCGTACAGCTTAGGGAGCAGCTGATGCGCTTAAGTACGGGAGTGTACCTCGAGAGGGCTTAGAATCCCTCACAGGAGATCACAGGGAGGCCGAGGAATTGATATAAGGACGCTAAGGCTAGTTCTTATTCGAGAGTCTTAAACAATGACAGCTATAGGCGACAATAGTACCGAGTTCGAGAGCTTACACTAGGACTGAGTAGTCTTAGACGAGAAGAACTTCTAACACAAAGAACTTATTAGTATGAGGCTAGAGTAATAGAATCTTATAGAAAGGTTATAGGTGATTGAAGATAACGTGCTCCTCAGACTACGTTATAAAGCCCCTGCTAACTGGCTGTATTATAGGAGTCCCTTCATTCACCGGTCGCTGGGTCGCTAGTTCACAGCTGTCCTGCTTCCTTAGTTGTTATACTATCGTACGTTGATTGCTTTAGAAGGAGAGGCAGGTCTGTCTCTATTCGATGACACTTTACGCTAGGTTAAACCTCGCCAGTATATTTGATACAAGCCTGGATAGCATTCCCCAGTTCCTTCGGAGCGCTCAAGAAGGGAGAATGGCTTGTGAGCAGGCTAATAGTGAAGCTGCCCTCAGGAAACTGAGAAGCCATAGCTTGCTGGACCTTAAAAGGCAGTGTCGAATCCTCTTGAGTGAATATGTAGCTAACGTTGAAACCTTGGTTCCATGGCTCAAACTCGCATTTCCCGTGCATGATCTCTTGCGGCACTGGTAGAAGTGTGGCGGCCGCCTTTGCGGCAAGCCCTGGTTCAACGTCGTGGTAAAACATCTCAATCGGGTTCTTTGGCGTTACGAAGCCGTTCTAGAGAGCCTTGTTAGGACAGACATTCATCGGAGGGTGGGTTCGTCTTCTCAAATAACCTTTATATCCCACCAGTCAAAAGGTGTTCCGCCGAGCCCTTCGAGCAACGAGGTTCCAGCAGGGATACAAGATGACGCCAGGTAAATGATTTTCAGGACTCCACCCTGTTCGCCGCGCTTCACTCTATCTCTTTTGTTCAGCCCCTCCAGTGCATTCGATCCGGGGATACCACCATACGAGTGCATGACTACAGCCACATCCTTCCCTTCGCTGATCAGTTTCTGAAGCTCCTCACGGATTGCTGCAGAGTCCTCTGGAACACCGACAGTAGCATGGCTGCTGCCGACGCTCGGTAGATGTACAGCTGATGTGGGATACCCCAGGGTTAACATGACCTCGCGAATCAACGTGAAGGCTTCGATGCCATGCCAGGCGCCTGGAACGAATAGAATAGTTGGAAAAGACATAATGCCGAATTGAATCTTGATCAAGTCACAAGCGAGGAACAGAACTTTAGGGAAATATATTCCCAGATTCATTTTAATACGAAGGGGTGGGCCTCCTTTCATATGAATCACATGTTCTCGGTCATGAAGGGCTCACGTGGGTCGGAGGTTCCGCTACTAGCAGAGTGCCGAATATTAGTGTCTCGGCTATCCACAATCGTTTACCCGTCATACTCGCACTCGCGAAATGGTGTCATACTGGTCTGGTCTAACGACTTGACAACCGACCAGGGAATAGTGATTAACAGGGTCATTCATTCCAACGATTTGCCATGCAATGGGTGAGCTACACCTATCGTAAGGCTACTAAGAAATCTACCGTCGCGGGCATATATAATAACCCGGAGATTCATGATTAGTTCATGAATTTGCTGGGGGTCAGTTTATACTTACACAGCAGTTTATCTCTCTTATTGTTAGCAGCTGAGTAAGGTCGATAAAGGAACTCCTGCTTCTCGGTTATTAAATGCACTCGCAATTAACATCTACATTCAGTATCTTTTATATTGCGAGGGGTGATTGTCCTGCCTCTTTATAACCTGGCGGAGGCAATGTCACTATAACGTGGCTTGCATTTGCATGATCTTTTACTTCTTAGGGGCAACCGGCAGTATATACTTAAACTGTGCGCTTGTGATTGGGTCCATGGCCAGTGCTATGATACTACTCGCTTGCAAGAAGCTGTTCAGTAGGCAATTAAGTAGTCTATTTCTGCAATGTTTTGCTTTTTACTTGCCCCTTAGACTTTTCGACGTGCTACGCTTCGTTTCCATTTCGTCTGGTCTCAATGATATCGTTGTAGAAGGAGGAACTCAATTCATTTCCTACAATAGGACACTCACTGGGTCTTTCGTCCCCGCTAACAAAGGCCAATCGACGTGTCGACGCTCTTATACCTTCAGGCCTTATAAATACTCATCTATGAGGATAAGGACTAACCCTTCATGGGATCATAACCCCCTGAACTTCGAACTCGAACGTGACGGCAATATTCGAGCTACATAGATTATTAATGACTAGTGCTCTAACTTCATCCTATAATTGTCGAGTGCTGATTGTGGGTGGATTGGCGAGATCTGCTACGCTCGATGAGGCTGCGCTAATAATGCTATCACTAATCCTGGCTTCACCATAGCACGATTCGAGTGCTCCAAGAATGGGGAACTTTGTGGGCAGTTCGAGTACTGTGAGTGGACATTTGTTAGCGAACCTAGTGTGAATCTGTCAGAGCGTTGTTTAGAGCAGAGTGAAGGGGTCTTCCATATGGTCCGCAGATAGTTAGAATATAGGTATGGGATAGGAAAATTTCTGAATTCTGGCCCTCCGCAGCTTAGGGGGCCCTCCGCAGCCTATATATACGTTCTCTCAGGGCCCTTAGCCCTTAGCCAGCCCCTTAGCTTGGCAGGCCCTTGGTGGCTCCGCAGGGGTCCTGACAGAATCTAACTACTGCATAAGCATCGCGCGTGAGCGACCAGCCAATTGACCGGAACGATGGTCAAGACACGGGCTCATTCTACTCAATCAGAGGCGACGAACACATGTAGGCTCCGAACGATCGCAAAAGCAATTCATTTAACTTTCAGGTGCCTCATAATTATTCCAGCAATGGAGATTGCGCCTTTGACTTTGCATGATATGTCACGACAATTTAAACCTTTCAGCTGAAGGGAAAAGTTGCTTATGAAAGAAAACCTAAGGAACTAGAGTTTGCCATTTACGTACACTTTCAGGTTCACAAATACAACTACGACAGCATTGTTTAACATCGGCACCCCTATGGGCAGCGTCACACTCGCTTTTCATAGGAAGCGCAAGGACGGGAATGACGAGGTTTTAGCACTAACAATTTATTAGGGCCAATCAACAGCTATCGGGCTCGCTGATCCAGATGAGACCACACAGCCTGAATTTACCTTTACTAATTACTCCGGCCTCGAGTGAAAGGAAAACCAACGCGGATAATAGGATGCAACTTCAGAGTCAGTTCGACAGTTTGCGATATCGGGAGAAACAATTCTTTCCATACTAAGCGAAAGACACATAGCGTCAATTCTAAATTGACCATTGCATTTACTACCCTTAAGCTTTTAGAAAGGCTTCGAATGTTTTTATAATGAAAACCTATTATCGTAAGCAATATAGACACTAGGGAGATAATACATAATTAGTAACTAAGTTATTACTATATACTAAGTGGCCGTAAGACGTATTTGATAAACGCTTCTTAGTGCCTTATAAGTAAGAGGAGCTGTGATAGATTCATTAATAGATTAAGGGGTAAGTTAGGATCGAAAGCCGCGCCTTACTACTAGCTACGTAAGCAGAACAGGGACGATCCATATATTAGTATAATGGATTGTAAATAGAGTTTCGAGAAGCGAAATGTTAAATCATATATTAATAGTAAGTAAATTAGCTTTTAGGGCACTCTACCTACTAACGAGAGTATAATCTGAATTAGGATCCGGAATCGGCTGTCCTACCTTAAAGCTTCTTATTTGAACTAAGAAATGATCGTAGTAGCCCGACTATAAGGTTCAAATGCCCCGGGAAGTTTCTGAGGGGTACGATTATGCTGAAGTAGCTTTCCGATATTATTATACTTTAGCTAGCATTAAGTTTTACACCGACATGTCCGAGTTATCCTTACCCCTCTACCTCGAATCATTTATAGCTTAACTAATACGAATTCGTGTTTCAGGTTACAAAGCCAAACTATAATACTTGTACTTATTATGAAAACTCTCTCTCTATCTATATAAAGGTCTCCCCCCCTTAACATTATTCTCACTTCTTTTCCTCACCCACTCCAGCTTCAGTCTAGTCTTCCTATCAGCTTGCAAAGTCTACACTTAACAAACCACCCAAAATCTCACAATGAAGACGTTCACTCTCGCCACTATCATTAGCCTTATCGCTACCTCGACGGCTTGCCTCGACCCCATTTATCCTGGCGCGAAGGGTTTCTCGAACATCGGATCCGACGCTAAGACCTTTACGCCTGGTAACAAGGCTTATCCCCTCAAGTTTGCGAACCTCGCTACGCTTACCGTTGCCATCAAGGGCAGCCCGGAAAATGTCGATCTTGTCGTGGAGCCTATCCACTACAAAAAGCTAGACATTAAGATCACTCAGACGGATAAGTCTGGCAAGCCCATTGTTCAGTGGCACTTGAATGGCCAGGGCACGACGTTGAAGGAGTGCCTGGATATTAGCAAACACGGTCATGGGGGCAAGTTCTACACCGAGATTGAGGAGAAGAACTAAGGCGTAGCACTGTTGATGGGTCGGTGCATCTGAAGGCTCTATAGTTTTTATCCGGGGGGTGCTTAGGTTTAGATACAGAGCCTCAACGGTTTCTATAGTCTATTATGAAGATGCCTGATTTACGAAACCTCCGTTCATATCTAGTTTGCATGACTCTTAAGAAAGAACATGACAAGCTTCATTCCATGGCCTTTTAATTTGACCTCATAGCACGTAAGACCCAAACTACCTGGGAGTCAGCACTAATTCATCGGAACCTTACTTTAGTACTTACGGGAGGCGAATGCCGACATGTACGCCAGGCCGGCTAGAAGTTGGACGCCGAGGTAGCTATCACCGCCCCGTCCTTGCCCCTTGATAGCGAGAGCAATGGGCTGGGCAAGAAGAGTTGGTATAGAGAGAACTGTCCAGAAGATAGAAAGCGCCGACGGAAGGAGTGGAAGCCCGACGACTTCAGCGCCCACAGCCGCCACCGTGGGCCAAAGACAGCCGGCTAGAGCACCACAAAGCGCGTAAACGATGAGACCGGCGAAGTACTTTCCGGCAAAAACCCAAATGAATAACGTTGTTAAACCAGCAAGTAAGGTGCTGATTCCGGCGACGTTGAAGCGGCCCCATCGATCATTCGACAGGCCTATAATGGGGTGGCCAATACCCTGCCCGACTGCAGTTTGTCAGCGTCTTCCGCATAGTCATATTATTGATTGGCATTCTCACGATTCATAAGGGCCGCGGCCAGGGATGCCTGACTCGTTGTAAACCCTACACTCTGGCCGAAGTCGGCGAGAGAGAAGATAACAATGGTGTAGCCGATTAGGCTGAAAAATCCCCACGACAAGAAAAGAAGATAATCTTTCCTTTTGAGTAGCGCCCAACGAAATGCAGAGAGTACTGTACCGACGCTTTTGTTTCTATCGCGCAGCAGAATGCAGCAAAGGCCGTTGACGACAAGTGTTAAAATGGCAAGAATACGAAATGTCCAAGCCAAGCCGACACTTTGAATGGCCGCGTTTGTGGCGAGAGAATATGCCAAGCCACCAAAACCTGAACCACAGGTTGATAATGAGTTTGCAAATGATCGGCGTTTGTCGAAGTATTGGGAGATGATCGATACTGTAGAGTTAAAAGATAACCCGACGCCTAGACCGAAGAAGACGCCCTGCGTAAGCACGAGGTGCCATATCTGGGATTGGAATGAGGCGCCCAACAGAGCACTGGTCTGGATGATGACTCCCAGCGCCAGTGTAGATCTGGATCCGAATGAGCGGACTGACAGAGTGACAAGGGGTGCAGTCATGAGAGCTGGCAGCGTCAGAGATAAAATGATCGAGTACTACCTCAGATGTGAACATACCGAGAGCAAAGGCAAGGCCGCCAATGAACGCAAAAACGATCGGACTCGTGTTGCTGAATGAACTCGACTTTAAATAATACGCAAGAAAGACGGCGAAGGACTGTGATTCCACCGTGAGTCAGGCTGGCATAGTCTTCTGCTGGGCTATGCATCCCTACCGCATTCAGGCCCCAGGTGTGCATGTTGATGAGCGCTACACACATAACGATGACCCTGATCCTCAATCAGCAAGAAGTTAAAATCTTGTATAAATAACCATACCATCCATAACCGCCCTCCTGAAACTCTTTCTTAGAGGTTTCGACACCGTCTGCATGGAACTGAGGCTTATCTGTAGTCGCTTCATTGACGGCTAATACGCCGTGACGAACCTGCATGTCATTTGGCGCCATACTGCACGAATTAGGTACCATGCGATCAGTGATAAGGAGAAACGATAGGTGACCTCGCCAATGGAGCTGCCCGCATGATGATGTGTTCTGGGCAAGGTTTTGTTCTCACGCGAAATTTTCATGTTGGCTGCTGGCTTGCGACCTTCCTAAAATGGGCTCACGAACCCAAAGGGGCCCGCCGCTGCGGGGCACATAACGGGCGCAACCGGCCGGCCTGTGGGTCGGAGGCAGCCCCCGTTCGCTTTATGCATCTAGCTGGCCTTCTTGAGAACAGTTTGTCGCTAGAAAGGCAGCATATAATCTCCCCGCCAGACACCGCGATGACATCCAAAGGTTCATGCCGACTCATGAACTTAAGCCCACTAGTATAAGATTCATTAAAAGCGCTTGCCAGCCCTCTATGTACTGTCTGCTCAAGGCAGTCACGGCTGATCATGAGTGATAGACGGCCATGAAGGGGTATTCAGGTTTCGGAATGCACGAACAGATCAATTTGGTCGAGGGAACCGTTGGCTTGAAGTTTTAAGCTTAGAAGCTCTTTGCAATCGACGGTCGCTGCCGCGGTCGGGGTAATGACCAAGTATACCCGATATTGGAAAGCGGTCAGAGATTCTTTCTATGAGGCCATTGTTATGAACGATCATGAGTACTTCTCGAACCCGGCAATTTTGCTCAGTACCAGAGTTATGAGGCACAAATGAAGGTTCTGTCTGCAATCCATATACATATTGGCCGCGTATTGATTTGTGCTGCAACGTGAAGACTGCTTTGCACTAGCATTATGCTCTTTACTGAGAAGAGCGCATACTGTTTCTTCGTACTTCAAGGGTGGCAATGGTTCAAATTCCAAAAGGAGGGATAGGAGAGAGGTCAAGTCCATATTTGCAGGGTTACGAATACACGCAGAGACTTGGCAGTGTCTTTCCGGAGTCGGTTACCATCAAAGCTGCAATTACCCGGCTCCATTAGTGTTTCCATCAGCCTTAAAACTTTCAGCCTCACTCTTCACTACAGGATCAAGCGATAAACTGTAGATGCCTTGACAGATTTTCCTCAGTCGATTGAATCATTGGGAAAGGCAAAAGAATTCTCAGAGAACTCAATCCTGCCCACCGAGACGTCAATGCCAACTTCAAAAAGACAGGGCTGAGCTGTAAACCTACCATGTAACACACAAACAACCGAAGACAAAAAGTACGGCAGTTTGTTCTAGTCAGACTTCGAATAGGGCCTTCAGTTCCTTTTTCAGTCGCTCTGGAAGGGTTACTTTAGGATGATGGATTGCCAGCTGTATGGCTTTTTGGCTTCGCAGGTAGTACGCTTAATCTGCTGTCATGGATGGGAATTAAGACGCAGGATCCCGAAGTTTCCTCGGGGTCTCCCACACGATAATAGACCCTAGTTAGTGTATTCGGAGCAAATATGATTGTTAGCACCTCCCAGCCGCTTGCTTAGGTTCGTCCGGGTCTGATATCTTCGAATTCCAGGGTAAATCTAACGCTGTGTCAACTTGATTCTAATTTGGACCTAGAGCCAAGACCAAGATTCTAACCTGTCCGCAGTATTGGCGATTTCAGGCCCACAGGACTCTATTATCCTTATGTTCAGAGAGCTCATGACTTTTATTCTCAGTCGGCAGCATTCTATCAGGGGATGTTCCCGAACATGAAGCATGTCAGAGTCGAGTCTGTTGGAGGTCAAGGGTCTGAGAAGAAAGGTGTTGTTGCATTAGGAAGCCATTCTGCAGGCAGGAGGGTGCCTGGAACTAAGCCATGGGGGCTGCCAGGGCACAGGCCACCTGGCGACAGGTGAACGACACTGAGTGAATGCCCTGGAAGCCCCAGGTGAAAACCGCCAACAGAGTCTAGTACCTTGGTCGGTCCAATAATGAAGCGACCTTTCACCCAGAGAAATGCCGCCCACCAACGACAATGGAACCAGTCGACCGACATGCCAAGTCATGTACCAATCAAACAGGTCGCTTGCCGCATCCAATCCCCATTCATGCGGGGTAAAGAATTCTGTCGTGTGGGGCTTTCCAAGACATCGTTGCATCAATGCAAACATTCATCCACGCATGACCTCGTTCGTCACAACTCAGACTCAATCCCGCCCCCCACCGGCCAACCCTCGCCTTGAATCGGGCTGCCCTTAAAGGCGGAAGTCATGATCCTTCCTATTGACGACACAGTGAAAACCGCCGTTTCCGATACGACGCCGAGTCGACACAGGATGTCGTCCCACGGTCTCCAACCAAGGAACCTGCGCCGGATGTGGACCACGGACGAGGATGACAGTCTAAGGGCCATGGTGCAGCGTTATGGGGATGCCCGCGGATCACACAGCCGTTGGAAAGAAATATCCGCCAACTGTCCTGGCCGTACTCCAAAAGACTGTCGCAAACGCTGGTTTCATTCCCTCCATCCATCACTCCGTAAGGGGCGTTGGACAGAACAAGAAGATCGAGTTCTATTAGCAGCTCATGCACGACTCGGACCTGCCTGGCACGACATTGCCCTTATGATTCCAGGCCGGAAAGACGACCAGTGCTCTAAGCGATACAATGAGATCTTAGATCCATCAGCCAAAACCAGGCTCAGGCAGTGGACACACGAGGAAGATAATGTTCTTACAGAAGGCGTCATGTCACTTGGACACAGGTGGTCCGCAATATCTTCTCGACTCAACAAGCGACCACCTCTGACATGCCGCAATCGATGGAGGCATCTATCAGATCCCAGCCGCTCGGGTCGCGCTGCGCTATCAAGCGAAGAAAATAAACCCAATGTCACATTGGAGTCCATTGAGTCGCCAGTAACGGATTCCACAGAATGCAACGCGAGGCGGAACACCACGAATCAGAATTCAGTTCACCGCACCAACGTCAGTGGTGTTCTTCCTTTTTCTTATAATTCCGAATCGCTGCTTACCGCAGGATTGCGCGGATCGGAATGTCTTGAAAGCTCTGCCTTGGACTTTCAGCAGCTGATAGACGAATACCCGGAGCCTTCGAGCGGTGACCATAGCATATCTCATGCACCACATTCAAGAGTTACGGATACTGGGATTGTCCTCCCAAATCGACTCGAATCATCAGAGCTCACGGCCGGGCCGCAAGAGAGCCTGCATCTTACTACTCGGCATGTCACTGGGAGTATGGCGGCTAACTCGAATATATATTCAGCAGGGGACTTGTGCGCTGCACAAACAGTTTCACTTTCCGAGCTTCAAAGTACCAGTATCCTCCCTCCCACCAATCTGAGTGGGAGTACCGGGAGCTACCAGCATAACTTCGCCGCTGCGGCGGACGGCTCAAATATCCAGATCAGCCATGATCAGAGCTCGTCTGGTTTCACTCATCACCACCACTACCATCATCATTATCATCATCATCACTATCACCACTACCACCATTACTACCATCAACCAGGTGGTTTAGATCAGCCGAATGCATCGGAAATAGCCACCGATGTTCGGAGTGGTGCAGATTTGAGCGCTATTGTGAGTTGAGATTCGGGGAGAACAATAGTGTTAGCTTAAGGCTTGTGCTATGAAGCGGGCTAAAGAATAGCGATCCAATGTTTTGGCGATCAAGGCAAAAGGTTTGCTCTTCATAATCAGCATTATCCCAGGTTGGAGAAAGTGACCCCCTTATTGGGGGTTGACATGAAGATTGCTGTTCAGGGATGAACAACATCGCTTTATACAGCGGTAGGAGACTGATTTTCTACGGCAGTACCGTTAGTCCCGGCTACTTCGCTAGCAAGACGAATGTCTCCTTAATGGCAACCCAGCCGGCCTACCGATCGCTGACATCAGAATACCTCTATGGGCTGTGATGAAATGGGGCCCGCTGGTGTCAGCCGGCAAGATGGAAGGGCGAACAGGTAGGGGATTCGTGCCCGTTTGTCTTCGTTCAGAGCCCAGCCCCACAGCTCGAAAGAAGAGGCGACTTAGGAGGCTCGGTGTGTCGAATCTTGTATTGCAAGGTGTCTCCTACTTAAATTTTCTTTGCTACAGTTCTGTTTCAGTTCCACAATGTATCTAATATAACTCTGTTCATGCACGTTCGGTAACACTTTTGTCTTTCTCTACCTTTTCGCTTATGGTCTGCTTCTCCCACATGGCATAATACTTTCCTCTCAACGCAAGTAAGTCGTCGTGAGTGCCGCGTTCGGCGATTTTCCCTTGATGAAGCACAATGATCTGGTCTGATGTCGTGATGGTAGACAGACGGTGTCTACTGGGAGTCAGTTTTGGAACAAATTTAAACGAGTTGTAGACTGACGCAATTGTTATGGTTGTCCGACCTGATGTGACTTTTTCCAGAGCATCTTGAATCTGTCTCTCGGTATGTGAGTCAAGGGAAGCTGTTGCCTCATCCAACAGCAAAATGCGGGCGTCCTTAAGTATAGCTCTCGCAATGGCAACCTATAGAATTTAGTATGCATTCAATATGAAGGGACCAAGAACTGACGCGCTGGCGTTCTCCCCCAGAGAGCTTCAGCCCGCGCTCCCCGACCTTGGTGTCGTATCCATCAGGGAAGGCGAGAATTCGGTCGTGGATGTTGGCCGCTCTGCACGCCGCGTACACATCGGCCTCTGTGGCTTCAGACTTAGCATAGAGGAGGTTGTACATTATGCTAGCATTGAACAAAACAGTGTCTTGTGGGACAACGCCGATGTTCCAGCGAAGGCTGTCAAGCTTGAGGTCCTTGATGTCGTGTCCATCAACGGTGATGGAGCCACTCGATACGTCATAGAAGCGATAGAGAAGCCGCAGGCAAGTTGATTTGCCACTACCAGATTCCCCCACAATAGCGGTTTTGGTTCCTGGAGCCACAGTAAAGCTGATGCCTTGCAATACAGGCTCACCTTTCTTGCTTTGATACGAAAAACCTACTTCATTAAAGGAAATTGCACCGCGAGGTTGAGGCAGCGTGACAGCATCTTTCTTCTCAATAACCCCCGGCGTTTCCTGAAACTACGCGCCAAATTAGCAGCACATCAGTGTTTGAGGGGAGGATAAAATACCAAGTCGAGGAGCCTCTCAGCTTCGATGAGATTATTCTGCAACATGTTGTAGTAGGTTCCAAAGAAGTTGAGGGGACCCTGAAGTTGAACAAAGTAATTGATGAGGCTGACAAAGTCGCCGACAGACTGTTCGCCAATGGAGATTTTGTAAGCAGAGACGCCGACGAGAAGGGCCGTTCCCAGTGTGAAAATTGAGCTTTGTGTGAGATTTAGCCCATTAAGAGACCACTGAACCAAGCGCTCTGCTCGCTGGAAGACGACAACATGTTCTCTGAATCTTTGCGTCTCCCGAGACACTGCACAATTGTGCTGCACCGTCTCGTACGCAAGGATGGCATCCGTCTTGACAGCTTCCATCTCACGCGTCTTTGTCGTCATGTCGCGTCTCTGACGGCCGCGGTACTTGGCCACGTAGATGGTCAAGAAGATGTAGGACCACATGATGAAGAAGACGATAATGGTGTAAAAAGCGTCGTACTTGATGAAAAAGATGACGCCAGCAACGAAGATGTCAAACACCATCGGAAATACCTGGAAGCAGAAGCTTTCGAGGAAAGTATTGATCGCGGCTCCCCTGCTTAGCGCACTCGTTACCTCGCCGATCTTCTTATTCAGATGAAATTCCAGCGAAAGGCCTAGAACGTGTTCAAAGGCAGCGGTAGATAACCGGCGGAAGAGGGATTGAGACACAGGGATCCAAAGAACGGAGCGAGCTGCGCCAATGGCACCTTGATTTCCCTGCAGGGCGCGGTAGACGACATAAAGTACGATCTCCTTATACGGCAGGCGACCCTTTCCCAGTGAGTCCACCAGGACTCCAAGCTGAAGTGGAGCTAGGACGTTGATAGTGCGTTGACAAAGTAGGAGGAGAATGCAGAAGACTACAATTAATTGATACGTTGGCGAGTCTTTGGGCCTGTGTCTATTAGCGATGTTGGGCCGAAGGGTTGTCTTTTTACTTACCATAGATACGGGAACAGAACTTTGAAGCCCGCAAAGTAGTCAAGCCAGCCAGTTCCTGACACCTGGGTCCGTTTGGCTGACCTTGATGGCGTGTTTGGGACACTGCCGTAGCCATTGTCATTGCCATTTGCCAGGAGAGACTGCCGCTCATCGGCGGCCGACGCCACATGCAAGGGATAAATCCTGTAGTCCCTAAGACACAGGGTTGCAGTCATGAGTACAAGAATCGCAATCCTAGTCAAGCTGAGACCCTCAATACTGTTAACGAAGCCTTTGGATACTCGCAGTGAGTCTTGGCCAGCGGCGAGGGTAGCGGTGATTACAGCCTCTGACAGTGCACCCACTACCCATGCAAGCCTGTGTGGGCTGCCGGGAGACCAAGGCCCCTCCGGATCAGGCAGAAGACCGGACAAGAAGTAAAGTAAGACTCCAACATGGGAAGCCTGCAATCTTTGTCAATAAGACGCTCAAAAGGCGAGTCTCGGAAGTGGACCAACCAAATACGCGCTGAAGCCGAAGTCAATCCTGCCTTGAAAATTTTGTCGGGTAGCGACCGCTTCTCGCACGACAAGAATAATGCTTGATAGAAGTAGTAAGCCAAGAATCAGTTGAAGGAGCCAGATGACACGCGCGTGTGATCGCTTCAGGCCTTCGATGTCATGCTTGGTGGCCTCGCCTCGAAGCGCGAGGTGACGCGTTTCGCGGTTTCGATTGCGAAAGTATTGAACGAATTGGGCTCCTAGCAGTGCCACAAACAGGAGACAAGGATACGCATAGAATGCGATTTTGAGCGCCAACTCTGCGCTCGCCATTGTGTAGATTTCTGATGTTTGTCTCATGGGTTCCGAGATGCTCGTCCGGTATCACAGTTGACGGAGGCTTGGCCATGCCCGAAATTTAAGCACTCATGAGACATGACTAAGCATCTGGTTGGTACTGTACCCACGACGCATTGACCCAGGCAGGCGACGGCGTTCCAACTCACTGTGGATTCTTCCGCCATCCCTTTGAACACCAGAACGACCTCAGGTACAACGGTACGTACTGGGTGCTCCTGATATACATGTAATGGCAGAATTGGCTTCTGGACCAGTTATGTGATATCGCTTGATAGCACTGTATGAGATAAGATTCTTTAAGTAGGCGGTCGAGCCAGCGGCTCTTGGCTTCAAAGTACCTGAGACCGTTCTGGTGTTCAAAGGGATACCAAGGGGGTCGAAGTCACAGCTCACTGCCATGAGTCTCATGCACTGAATTGAGCCTTCCAACACTTATATTAGCAGGTAGTCAGGGATTCATGTGCCATTTGTGCACGACCAAGGAGGGTGAGCGCACGTGTTTTTGCCGACGCACTTACCAGGCAGGTGAGATGAGATTATACTTTTCTTAACGCCGTGAGATGATGGTCTCGATGCAAATGGCGGAGGTCTAAGAAGTTTAAGCTTTGATGTCGAAATCTGGCCTCCATCTGCGACAAAGGATTCCAGCACCCAAAGTGCCACTTGCTGCACTACCTACTTCACCTCAGAATAGTACTGTTTTGTTGAGGCTTCGTACGTGTCAGACAAAGAGCTTCTCATGCCGAACCTTTGAATCATGAGACGTGCAATTCCATCACATCGCACAACCTGGTAAGGCACTTAAGTTTCTTCCGAGGTTTCAGCGGACAAATTTTAAGCCTGCAAATCTGGATTTCGTTGCTATCTGAGCTTCACGATTTCTCGGGCAGTATAAGATCTCCCTCATTATGTAGGCTAAAATGCCTCGATTGAATCAACCGTAAGCAAATGGATTGAATCCTCGTAGCATGACCATCAGTGGCGGAAGCTGCAAATCTGGCTTCATGACCGAATAAAGATAGTGACAGCCGGAGAATTGTCGAGTACCTCCTGCTGTATTCGACTGGCAACAAGTGCTGAACATTCCTCCACAGACGTGATTGCTGAATTGAGCGATCGAAAGAGGTTGGGACTTTCGTAATCCACATGGATGTTTGGAATTGATTTTCCCCAGCCATTTTCTGGGCCAACAATTGAGCCTGCTCGTAGCGATGGGAGAACATCACTTTAGGGTCTCTAGTTGTTCATTTAGCAAGGCTTCCCCATGGTTGTGAGTTTTCTACCCAGAAACATAAGCGCCGTTGTAACTGAACGCGTTAGGGTTAGGCAACATTGGTGATCTTGTCCAGGCTATCGAAGCCCAGGGCATGAATAATGTCATGGTCTAGGCACTTAACCTTCCCGTTCTTATGGATGAAATAAGCCCTAATGTGGAGTCTTTCCAGACATGCCACCAGTCTTTTCACGCCAAGGTTTGTACATCAGACCCGTGGAGATTGGGACCCCAATGCTGATACTCATTAGACTTACTTCAAGCTATGGTCTCTATTCAACATATAGTAGCGCCATACAAGACACCTCTATATTCGAATCTTGCCCATGATACTCTGGGGCTATGCAATAGAGGGCATAACTGTACAGAAATGGTCCGAGAACATACTCCGCCATTCTGGAACCTCTCGGACTTACGCAGACACTTACTGACGCTCCTTTACCCAGTCCCGACAGTGCTGTCGTTCCTGGGGCCACCACCAGGTCTTGGATCGACGTTGATCTGGGACCTGAAGCTCCGTGAGTCAAACATTCAAGCGAATTGGACGTCAAATTGACATGAAGAAGCGGTGGTGGCGTCTTGTCCTCCGCGTCTGATCTCTCCTCCGAATCGGCCAGTCTCCTCTCAATTCCACTCTCTTGTATTTACTTTGACTCGTGCCTGGCTCAAACCTCAGAGACATACCTCTGATCTTAAGCAGTCTATTGGCCTTGCTTGGGAGATACGCTCCACGCTTCTTCCTCTCATGCTCGGTTAGAAGCCCAGTAGACGAGTGGAGATATACTCCCAAGATGGCGGTATTGGGGCATATACTTGTATAATGGTCCTCTCCCCTGACCACGGCCTCGGCTTTGTCATTCTGTTAGTCTCAGGTGAACCCCGACAGTGGGTCTCCGCTTGGTAGCCTTCTGGCACTGATCGCCCAAACTATGATCCCAGCATTCGAACAAGGTGTCCGAGAGAAAGCTGCTCAAGAGTACACGGGGGAATACGTCGACGCATCTAGTGAAACTTCACTCATCGTCAGTATGGATGAAGCGACAGCAGGTCTGAAGGTCGTCAATTGGATAAGCAGGGATGCCGATGTCCTACAATCACTGGCGTCGCTGCGTTACGGGTTGGGTGCGCAAGCTCATTTGACAATTCATCCGATGGAAGTTGGTTCGGCTGGCATGTCTTCCTTCCGTGGAATATATGTACGAACCTCCAGCACAAGCCACGGCGAAGAGGACAGCGTCTTTATGAGGGGCTGTTCAGTGTGGGCGCCCGCTGACGTTGTGAAGTATGGGAACATATAAATCGATGATTTCGATTTCATATGGGACGAATCTTGTGGCACCGTCATCGGACTGTCACCGCAAGTGACGCGGCAAACGCTCCATAAAGTTGCATAAGTATGTTTGCCAACATTGGTAAGCTTCACATGGTCCAGCTAAAGCTCCAATGGCAAGGGTGCTCAATCAATCACCGACCGCTGGCAGTCAAGGCTGGAGTGGACGTTGGGTCACTGTAAGATCCAGAGACGGTTAGCGTACAGAAGGATGGGCGCTAACAAATTGTATGGCCTTACTCCCGTCAATTTCGACCCGACCCGCGTCTCAACTCTTCGTCAAACACTCGTCATGTCTCCGCACACACCCGTCCAGGACGAGCACGATACACCCACGGTGAAGCGCCGACGACGGCCTGCTCTGGCCTGTCGACAGTGTCGGCGGCGCAAGATTAGGTGCGATCAGAACATCCCTTGCAACAACTGCACCAAATCGAAAATTAGCGATTGCACGTACCCACCAAACCATACGCCACTGTCACGCCGCCCCGGACCCCAGGCAGCTTTCGCAAGCCAACGCAACCAAGCCGAGTCCTCACGATCACGCAAGACTCCCCACCATGGAGACCCATCTCCATCTCTGAGCTCAGCCTCTACCACTGTGGCCATATCATATTCGCGTTCAGGTGGGCTTTATACCAACGTGTCTAACTCACAAGCGCCATGGGGCCGTGACACCCATCGCAGTGAGCAACGCTGACCAGGTAGCCATTATAGCAAGGCCTGAGGCGCCAACTGGGCCGCGATTCAGCAGCCAGAGTAGCTGGATGAACCATACTTGTCTGGTGAGCTGGCCATGCCGCTGTACTTTCCTGATGCACCGGCTGATCACTCGCAGCACTCTGAGGTTGTTTGCACCCTGAGCCAAGCCCAAACTCATAATATCGAGCTGCATCACGCAATATCATCCTGTAAAGTGCTCGGCCGTCAGATCAGTAACCACCTTTCTGCGGATCCAGCTGGGCCAATCTTGAGCTTTGGCACGAGGATGCCGGAACAAGCTACCGCAGACAGGCTCGTCACGGAATACTTTTTGCTTTTTGAGGGCGCATTTCGCATACTCCATGTGCCCGCCTTTGAGGCTGAATACAACAAGTACTGGCAGAGTCCTTCTACGGCGCGCGGGATCTTCGTGACTCAGCTCCAGGTGGTTCTAGCCCTCGGAGCTACGGTGCACTCACACACTTCGCCATGTCACAGTGTTACGTCCTGGTGGCTATTCGAGGCACATACATGGCTCACCCGGGCGAGATTCAAAAGGAAGCGCCTGACCTTTGAAGAACTACAGCTTCATTGCCTTCTTTGCCTCGCTGAAGCTAATAGCTCTGGTCCTGAAGATGTTTCATGGATTGACACGGGAGGTCTGATAAGGGCTGCCATGTCTCTAAATCTTCATCGCGACCCGCAGCACCTTGGAGTTTCACAACGCCAATCCGAAATGCATCGACGCCTTTGGGCCACAATCCTCGAATTGAATCTGCTACTCTCTCTCCAGGCAGGTCGTCCACCCATGATTTCTGTCACAGACTATGATACACGACCTCCAGAAAGCTTGAGCGACGACGACATAGATGACAAGTCGGCCCTTCCACGGCAACGAGGCAGGCCTTCACAATCCTTTGTTCAGGTGTCCTTATTTGAGTCTTTCTCTCTAAGGCTCGACATCGCATCTAGACTCGGCGCCTTTGGCTTGGACATTTCTTACAATAAGCTGCTTCAATTTCATTCCCAGCTCAGCCGAGCTGACGTACAGTTGCGACAGCGTTTAAGAGGCTTGACGGAACCGGACACCATTTTCCAGAAACATCTCGCCGAGACCTTGCTATCTCGGTATCTTCTCGCAATCCACCTACCAGTGCTTGGCAGGTCCATTAGAGACCCTGCCTACCATCTTTCCCGCAGAGTATCTATCACTGTTGCTGTAAGAATGGCGAGAACAATCGGCGTTATACCCTGGTCAGCAAACGTAGACGACGTATCAAAGCTTAGATGCCTTTTCATCCGAAGTGCAGGAATTTTCCGATTCGTTGCTATCCAAGCTGTTTTTGCGATTGTTTTCGAGTTCGTCACACTCAAGCAGGAACAGCGAGAGACACTCGGAGGTTTCCCAATTTTGGACGAAGACGAACTTTCGCAACACCTTGACTCTGCTCTGTCGTGGGCGGAGGAACGAGTCAGCACTGGCTTGCCGGACGTTCATTCTGCTTGCTTCATCGCTGCATGCAAAGAGTTTGCCGTTGCGCAGTGTGATTCGTCCAACACACCTGAAGAGGCCATCATCGAAGGAGCCCTTCAGTCCAGTCGTAGGTGTCTGCAGGCCTTGGCTGTAGTAGTCGAAGGCTTGGGTCGATCAGCTAGTGACACCGCAGATGCACCATGTGCTTCGACCGAGGAAACCCCTGTTGTACCAGACATCTGGGCTGGCGAGCTGACCGAGGAAGGTATAGTCCAAAACCTCGCTTTGGACTGGGCATACTATGCAGGCCCTACTCTAGCGCCTTACGGGGATGACAATTTGGGACTCATGACATTTTAAGTAAAATAGGTTAGCGATTTGCGGGTTCATATCTCTCAGACCGGTGTGGTACATGATCACCCTCACCACTCGAGCTAGCCTTTAATTCGTGATGACTGGCGCCCGTCCGTCATACTTGGAAGTCTCGGCAGCTTCAAGCATGAACCTAGCTACACTAGCTCGAGAGACTTTGGGCATGAACCCGGCGCCGCTCCCGTTATCTTCATATACCTTGACTTCTGCGGCCACCATATCCGTCAACAACCAGGGACGCACTTCCACGAAGATGATGTCATGTGCCGCTCTAAGCTCCTGGTCCACCGCGTCATGGTCTTCGCGGCTATAACGCATATTGGTGTACGCAAATGTCAAACGCATGAAGAAATTGACGTTCGACATCGAGGTACCCGTTCCCACCGCTGACATGACGACTATTTTTCGAACCGGCGGTCTAGCCTCCCGCATCGCAGATATAGTATTCCGCACGCTGTCTGCCATGAGTCGTGGTGGAGAGTTCACGGGATCTGGGGCTGCAAAGGGACTGTCGCTAACTCTGCGGGCGTTCATGGTCACCAGTACAGCATCGACAGCCGAGGGCGAAGACTTGAGGGCATTGCTAATTGATGACTGGTCGAGAGGCGTGCCTGTGATTATGGTGAGGCCCTGGCGCTCGGACAAAGCAGAGTCCTTGCGTACGAGTGCGATGACCTGATGGCCTTGGAAAGACGTTAATTGGATGTCATGGAATGCGACATGGACGCTTCACATACCCTTGTTAAGTGCTTGGTCGATCACAAGCTGTCCAGAACGACCACTGCCTCCGATGACGAGGAACCTCATTATTCTTGGCTTGTGATATTCTCAAGGTTGAGTACGCAGTGTATTAGCACAAGGACGCGAAGTTTGATGGATGTCTCGCTGGCCAATGTAAACGAATTGCGGGAGTCAGTCGAAGGTGTTGTGCGAATCTCGGAAGACAAAGTTGATGATGATTGTAATGATGTTTTTATTTGCAACAAGAAATGCCCATAAGTCTCTATTTATGCCTGTGTCTTATTGTGTCAGCTTCGGCTTACAACATCGAGTTGTCGAGCCCTTCCAAAGTTCATGTAGAAGTCCGCACAATTGTCCATCAACATTGTCCGTATGAAATGTCCGCTTATATCCGAAGTCGGCCACCCGCGGTGATTGATGCACGGACAATACGTGGAACGTCGGACAACAAGTTGCCGGACAATTCACAAAGCCTGATGGCTTGGGAGGTTTCATTTCAGACTGTGGGTATGGACGAACAATACTTAAGATGACACACTCCCGCTAGGACTTAACTTTCAAAGACATTACCTAGGCCCTTGCAGTCCATTGAGTCGGTCGAGCAAAGTAGCATCAACTCTATCTGGTGTCTTTTGATCTAAATCAATATTCGTCATGGCAGCCACTCAAACAAGCATTGCCATCATCGGAGCGGGTCTTTCCGGGCTCTGTCTTGGTCTGGCTCTTCACCAACAACTTATTCCGTGCACCATATACGAGTCTCGGACCGCACCACTGGACATTGGTGGGGCGATCATGCTTTCACCAAACGCACTTCGGATTCTTGATAGTCTGGGTGTTTACGAGCGGCTAGCACCCTTGGCTTATCACTTCCAAAACCTCCACTTTCGTACCGATGACGATAAACTTCTCGACACATTTGAATTTGGCTCTGAGGAGAAATACGGATTTGACGGTGTACGAGTTTATCGATTCGAACTCATCAAGGTCCTTCTTGAGAAGCTTTCAGAAGGCGGCATCAGACCTCACTACGGCAAGAAGTTTGTTAAAGTCACAGGCGAAGACTCCGAAAGTGTCACTTGGGCCTTTGATGATGGGTCTTCTGAGAAAGCAAGTTTTCTCATCGGCGCAGATGGCATTCACTCTCGCGTTCGGGCGCACATCAACGCCAACGCAATTCCAATTTTCACCAAAATGATTGGTGTCTCAGCTACCATTCCCACAGCGCAGTTGGGCTTCAGGGTTGATGATGACTATCCGCTGCCCGTTACTGTCATGAACAAAAAGCATGGTGCTTTTGTCGCCGCTCCTCAACGTAAGGACGGCTCCGAGATCTTCATTGGTAAACAGTGTCATTTCACAGAAGAGCCCGACCGTGAAGGTTGGGAGCGCATCACAAGCGACAAGGCATGGTGCATTGAATTTCTACGACAAGGAAGTGAGGATTACCCACCATTCGTCGCTCGAGCCGTATCGAACATACGCGTTGAGACCATTAATCTGTGGCCCTTCTACATCATCCCAAAACTCGAATCATGGGCTTCAAGCCAAGGCCGTGTTGTTATCCTGGGAGATGCAGCCCATGCCATCCCCCCTACCGCCGGACAGGGTGTTAACCAAGCGTTTGAGGACGTCTACGTGTTTGCCAAGATCGTAGGCAGGGTAAACCAGACCGCGGATAGGAACTTGCGCTCTGTGCTGCATGAGTGGCAGCTCAAGCGTCAAGAACGAGTTGATCAAGTTCTAGAACTCAATGCAAGCATCAACAAAAGAAGATTACCAGCAAAAGGCGACGATATAGTCTCTCATGAAGCTTTTGATCTGGATTGGCTCTACGGTGTGGACTTCGAGGCTACGGTGCAGCAAATCTTGGTACAGCACAGCCATTGATAATCAGCTACCCGATTGGCGTATCTAGTCGAGGCCTGAAGACTTTTGTATGAATTCTTATCCCAACGCTATTCTACACTTCAGTTCTGCTACGTTTCTTGCAAGAAATGCGCAGGTTATTGGACCATTCTCTCGCGTGATTCGCACCCTAGACTCCACGGAGATCCCACTTTCGTAACCTCGTGATCGTTGTTCTTGGGATTTACAGGGCTGCAGATGATCCACACTCCATCTATATCAGAACCGCATTCGGCTCTGTTGTTTCCTATCAGACCACGAAATCCCCGAATATTGAACACCACGTCGACGTCAGGCACCCTGTGCAACAGCAATGTCCTCAGCAACTACTTCAGCCTACCATCGTCTAGTCATGTACAAGCACCTAGGAAGAGCAATTTTGCGTCTAAGAAAATGAAGCCTCAGCTAGTACACCTGTGATGTACCTCGCATCCTCAAATCAAGCCTTCAAAGTCTCATTTTGAGCCTCATCGGTCAAGCATGCCGCTTTAAGGGCCTTTGTGCTACGTAGTCCTGCGATCATGTCAATGGTGATGTTCTGGTCAGTCATCAGTCATGAATGAACAAGGCACGAATGTGGAATGACTTAGGCCTTGGAACAAGTGACAGCTCTGATAAGCGTTCTCCACGAGTCCTTCATTATAAAGGCACACACAGCAAAGACAAGATGCGCCAGTTGTGCCTCTGATGCTGAGCGGAAAGATGATTCCATTGCTAACATTTCTCAGTGAAAACGAGAGAGCTAATAATAGATATCCCTCGGTGCGGATGGTGAGTCAGTGACTCAAACCTCTGCGGACTATTAGGGGATCCCACAAAATGGAAATTGAAGCAGGCCTCGAATTTTCTGGAAATGTGGTCTGGCAATTTCATCTCGATGGAGCGCGGAGGCCACTCGTGGAAAGCGCGGAAGCCATGCATCATCATCGTAGCGCAAGTATGCCGAGGTTCCGTCACCATGATAGAGATTGTACGAGATTTGAACAGTCTCATTTCCCCTCAATCGCAGAGACCAGTCATTCATGTTTGTCGTGAAGCTGCCGTTGCTCCGAGATGACGGTTTTTGTCCGTGCCCCTAAGCTACATGGACCGGCATTTTGATCCGTTCTGTGCCTCATTCTTGCAGATGCTGTGCCTGACAGATGTAACGGTCATGCGTCAGATGAGGGTGCATGACCGAGGCCTTCATATTCATCCAGAATCCCACCACGACCTTGGGGTCCGTAGGGCTGTCCTGAACGGTCCGGTTCAAGCTGTGTAATCTTATTTGTAATGTTACCCTGCATCTTCTCCCAGGCCCGGCAACCACTCCGTTCCTTCGCATCGTGAGTTCCTGCACGTGCTGCGACTCAGGGTCACCTCATTTCAATGATGCACCAGAACTAGCAACGGTATGCACGTCTTCAAGGCGAGCTTCTGCTCGGTCAGCTTTTTGGGCACCATCGCCGACGTCTCACATGCAGTCTGATCCCAGCAACAAGTCGGAGTCTCGGCACCTCCCCAATAGAGCAAGGTTATCTTTCGCACCTACGGTCGAAGTCATTTTTCAATTGCTCTGTCAACCTTGTAGCCAGGACTTCAGGATTCGGGGAGCGCTCAAGTGAATCCTCGATGAAGTCAGTAGCGTGCGAATGTCAATCCCGACCCAAATTCTCGTGGTTGCTGTCCAGTGTCAAGTTGCGTCCTCTTCTCGACCACACGGATACATTCTAGACGCGAGTATCTGTTCGTCACGGCCAAAACGCCTCCCACAAACATGAATCGACTGTTCTATGGGGGGCTGAACTACACTAATCTTCTCATCTGCTGGGAAGGGTCGGCTCCGCATCTGCGTCAATTTCAAAGTGCACTTGCTTGCCCCTACCGTACGGCGCTACAAGCATTTTCGGTACCCTCAGATGGTCGCGTAGCGGATCCCGACAGCCTTCGAACCAGCGAAGACAGCCAAGATACTCTGTCGCTGCCTGCCCCCGCCTCTGTATGGCTCTGTCTTGATAATTCCAAGATGAAAAATCATCATCGACTTTGAAATAACCACGATCAAGAATCGCCATTCGAGAGCTTGTCCAAAAAAGGATGGAAAAGGTCCAGCCAGCCACGCGTCGCCTTCGTGGGTGCGGAATAGGGACCCAGCCGTTTGTACACGGCAGATCTAGCACCATTGTGCACAAGTTAGGGCCTTCAGTGAGAATGGAATTCATCAGACCAGGTCAGCAGCTCGCTAAGACGATAGTTTCTCAAGCTAAAACGATAGAGGCCAAGGCATTTCAGCGTCCCGCACGCTAGTCTTGACCGCGTGTGGGCAGTTCAGGCGAGCACGCGGTCGCCACATTCCCATCTCGACCGTCCAAACCCCTGGTATGTGGCGGGCTGTTGGTGTCCCGCCCACCCCTGGAACGACCCAGGCCCTCCTTCGACTACCATAGCCTCAAGGCTACCTTCTCTTTGGTGGCTGAAGGGCTGAGCGCACCATATCTCCGACTTTCGGATAAGCTTCTGGCCCCTCTTGGTAGATTTCATCCAGCCAATGGGACCAGTTTACCGTGGACTGTGCCCCTGGACCTGTCCACATGCAAGCCGTGCCAACCCTGTCACACATCGATCCATTGCTTCTGCGCTGTCTCAATACGTCCCATTTGGGGTTCGGTCTCGCCCAGACCACGCGCGAAAGTCGCTTTAGCGATGTCCCAATTCGAGACCCTTCATTTCTCACTGCAAGCCATCCAACACCCATCACCCTCGTGGCGCGCACCAACCGATGGCGTTCCTAGCTGGTAGATCGCCTTTAAACAGCCCAGGCCCGCTGCCTGGGTTGTCGGGGAGGATGCTGAGAGGTCTTCAAGCACCCATTCGACAACATGAAGCATTCTGCCATCCATCTACTCTGGCTCGCCGGAGCTCAGGCTCTGACTGTGCCTCCCGCTGTTACCCTGACCGTCGATCCGCTGCCTAGCGACTATCTGACCTCATACGCCAAGGATGATATCATCCCGACTGATGAGACGGTCACGGTCAAGGCCACTGTTATTCCAACCGGTACGGCGCTGTTGCTGCCAACACTATCAGATGTCGAACCCCACACGACTGGTATCATCGACCCCGTCGTGGAGTCTCTGACCAAAGGACTGCTCTTGACCACTCCTATTCCTTCACCCACATCGCTGTTGCAGCCAGTGGCGTCGCCAACATTGAAGAAGAGACAAGCAAGGCCACCGACTCAACAACTCGAACAAAGGGCTGGTGGTGACATTTTTGCCGTACCAGTAGCAACAAGTGCTCCACCATCATCCATCATCCGGCGGACGGATCATCCGGCGCCACGCCTGGGAGTTCGCAAGTCAGGCCCCATCCAAACTAACAAGTTCTACTCCAACTTCTTCCTCGGTGACCAGACCGGCCCGACCTACACGTTTCCCTACTCGATCGCTTGGTCAAGGGGCCAGGGCCCGGCAGCGAGCTGGGGCATTGCTATATCTCACACCGAGCCGAAACAGCGTGTATTCGGTCCTATCGAATACAACAAGGCCAATGCGTACTACATCAACCCGGTTGGCATCCAGTCGATGATTCTCTCGGCCAAGGAGCTCGGTAAGGACACTATTCTCGCTATGGACCAGACGACCGCGTTTTCCGCTCGCGTTGGACTCAAAAGGAACGCGGCGTCCGCTCCTTCCATCATCTTGCCTCTCATTCAGGGCATGGCATTTGTCACTGGCCAGTTTTCAGGCGGTACCCCCATGATTCAGTCGGGTGTCTACATCCGTAGCATGGTACGGGTAGCCACAAACCCCAAGACCAACGTGGTCAAGTACAATTTCCTCCTCGAAGACGGCACTACCTGGCGTGTTTACGGCCACAGCACTTCAGGGGCTGCGCTCGATCTTCAGGTAATCAACAACGGCCTGGTCCAGAGCAGGAACCCCTTTTACGGTACCGTTCAGATCGCCAAGGACCCGAAGACAACGGGCTCAGAGAAGGTGCTGGACGATGGTGCAGGTATCTACGCGACTGGTATCACCCTGACCGGCTCGGCCTCCGGCACGGTTGGAACGTACTCTTTCAAATTCGCCAAGACTGGTCATCCCAAAGGCAACATCTACACTTACGCCCTGCCCCACCACGTTGCTTCTTTCAATGCCGATACTACAAGACGTATTTCGGCACTCAAGCTCCAGACACCGACAAAGGGAGTCGGCGTCGCGATTCTTGGTTCTGTCTGGACAATGACCGAGTCCAATCTTCCCACCGGCATGAGTTTTTCTCCATGGGATATCACCAGAGGGGGACGTCTTGCCTTGTCAACAGCCGTCAAGAACGCCATCAAGCCTATCGCATTGTCTGAGATCTCGCAGGACATGAACGCCCAAACGAACCTCGACTCAATGTACTTCAGTGGCAAGGCACTGGCCAAGTTTGCTCAAATTGTTTATGTCATCAATGATATGCTCGGAGACAAGGCCTTGGCCCAGGCTGGCCTCAACAAGCTCAAGGCCGCCTTCGCTGTGTTTGCTACCAATAAGCAAAAGTTCCCCCTGATCTACGAGAGTGAGTAATTCTTCTACCATCCACATTTTCAGCAAGCTGACAGGGCAAAGGTGCCTGGGGCGGAGTCGTCTCCTCGGCGACATACGTCAACCGTGATCCAATGGCCGACTTTGGTAACTCGTACTACAACGACCATCATTTCCACTACGGCTATCACGTCCTCGCTGCCGCCTACATTGGCTACCTTGATAAGACTTGGCTCGCTCAGAACAAAGACTACGTCAACACACTCGTGCGTGATTATGCCAACCCAACCGTGCTGGATACATTCTTCCCGCCGCACCGCAGCTTCGACTGGTACCATGGACACAGTTGGGCGCATGGTCTTTTTCCTTCACTTGACGGTAAAAACCAGGAGTCTAGCTCTGAGGACATCTCGGCCATGTATGCCATCAAGATGTGGGGAACCGTCATCGGTGACACGAACATGGTTGCCAGGTATGTCCAATGCCCAGGCCACGCAAGAAGCGTATTCCTAATAGATCCCACAGGGCCAACCTTCAATTGTCTGTGATGACGAGGAGTCTTCAGCAGTACTACCTTTACACATCCGACAACACGGCCCAGCCGCCCAGCTTCATTGGCAACAAGGTAGCAGGCATTCTGTTCGAGAACAAGGTCCACCACACGACTTTCTTCGATCCGAACATTGAGGCCATCCAAGGCATTCACATGATTCCCATACACGCGCCGTCAGGGCTCTCGCGGTCCAAGACCTTCATCAAACAGGAATGGGATACCTACTTCAGCAACGGTCGCATTGACAAGATCAACAACGCCTGGAAGGGCATCGCTTACGCCAACTACGCCATCATCGAGCCTGCCAAGGCGTATGCCTTCTTCAACTCATCATCATTCCAGCCTGCATGGATTGATGGCGGAGCGTCAAGGACATGGTACATGGCGTACTCGGCTGGTATGTTGACACGCGCATTTTCTCGTTGCGATCTATGGCTAACAGCACTGCAGCACTGGGTGGACTGTAGTTTTGAAGAGACATTAGTTGTACAAAAGCATTATGGCGATCATATACCCGAACAGATCACCAGTAGTAGTAGTGCATTAGAGAAGACCCCAGGCGACTTATGCAGGCTGATTAGAGGGGCAAGACTCCAGATTGCGGGAGCGAAGCCTAACTTGATCGCGACAGATCGGTCTTATTTGTCTCATTTCCTTAATAGCAATATCTTTGACCAGAGACTAGTGATAGAAACCTTGATCTCTCCAATTCGTCGAGATACACGTGTGTTCCCCACCCACCGAGTTCAGCCCTTTGAGTATAGCATAGAGTATTTAGAGGATGGCTGATCAGCAACCCTGAATACCACACTTGCCCGTGCTCGCGGCTGCTGTCATCGCCGTTTCATGATTCCTTGAAGTGACATTGAGGAAAGGAAAACCAGCAGTGGCCGTTGAAACTCAGCAGTCAAGATATCTAACATTATGTAAGAATGAACGAGGGTACTCCTAGAGTCAAGATCTCAGCCGTCACTCCAATGGATCGCGCCCCCCTTGTGCGATCATAGCTGCGTGGTACTCTTCGTCAGATTCGAGGTCAATCTCTATGGGGTGCGTAATCGGCAACATGGGTGTCCCATTCTCTTCAAGTTGCTTCAGCCGTGCAGCCGTATCAGGCTTGCTCTTGTTAATGCTGTAGACTTTGATTCTGTGAGCAGACGACGTAACGTGCAAACCCCAGTTCCTGTAGCAGCTGTCAGCTTGGTGTCCTGGTGAGACGACATGAAAGAACTCACCATGCACTCCTCACGTAGGTGGGCTGTGTATTCATGGCATTGTCCCACGTTCGCACGCAAAATTCCAGCCATCCCTCAGCATCTACGGGCAGATCAATTTCCCAGAGTCGCCAGGCCCAGAAGTACTTTGTGCTCATCTTCTGCCAAGGTACTTCGTACCAGACTGACCCGCCATCACCGCTGACCTCAACTCGCACAGGCCAGTGGCCGCCGCCAGAGTAGGCCCAGCCGCGGAGCTTGACCTTGCCATCATGGATGATTTGGTCCTTATCGCGGGGGCTCATGATAGCGGAGCTCACTGGCATATCCTGAATGGAGAAGCCGTTGCTGAACTTGGCGTTCTGCTTGCCGATTTGGGGCGTGTAGTACAGGTATTCCTTCATCTGTACTGGTCCAGGGCTAGGGCCGCGTATCGCGCGAACTTGGTACAGCCATTTGGCGCTGCGAGCACCGATGTAGCCAAAGACGACTGCGCGAAGTGGGAAACCATGGATCTTGGGCAAAGGCTCCCCGTTCATCTCCCATGCAAGCAAGACTTCGTGCGCTTTGACCTTGCGCCAGGGCACACTGACGAGGTAGTTCATCACTTTGCCCTTCTTGAAGTAAGTGTCCGCGCCGCGGAGCTCGATGTCTGTCACGCCGTCCTGAAGGCCGCCGCAGTATTTTATGACCTTTTTCAAACTGACTCCAGTCCAACGCGCCGTGCCGATAGCACCCTCTCCCCAAGGAGCGTTGATGAGCTCGTCGCCATCGCCCGGGTACTCGTGTATTTTCTCAATGCGGCGGGTTCCAGAGCACTGCAGTGACACAACGTTGCTCTGACGAGAGAATAGCGCTTCGTTCTGAAGATCCGCTAGCGTGAGGATTCGGGGGTTGTTGACGAGACCACCAATGTCGAGAGTGAACTTTTCAGGATCAATCTCGGGTACACCGCCATGATTACGGACAAAGTGGTCCTTATTGTCAGTGATTTCAGTCTCGACGAGGCGATCCTAGTGACTAGTCAGAAATGTAGGGGGGCGAGGGTGATCGAAACGCGTACTCTGACCGGTTCACCGTTATATGGAAACTGCAAGACATGGATCATGTCCTTGGCCTTCTCTTTCTGGACATATTCCCAGCTGATTCGAGGGATATAGTCAAGGCCGCATGCGTAGTGGTACTGCTTAAATCGCTCGCCGGTGAGAATTGGGTTGGTGTCCGGCAGCGGGACAAGTTGAAATTCTGGAGGCTGCGATGAGCGTGAGCCATGGGGCAGCATTCAAGACCAATAACATAGGAACACGAACGTCCGGAAAATCGTATTCCGCTAGGATCTTCTGCGCTTGCTCCTTCTTCTCGGGGTATTTCTCCCACTCGATATAGCCCTTCCATCCTTCTCTCTCTTCCGCAAAGTGAGGAAGATTGGTTTTCGTTCGGAAGGGAAGCGCGTGTGGTTCGGCTGGAGCCATTTTCACGACTGATGACTGATATCTGGTAAGTAGGAAGACTTGGCTCGCATGCGAAGGTAGGCCAAGTATCGGGTTGTTGGCGAGGAGTTCTGCAAAACTGGTCGCTTCTTAACATGCGTCAGAGCCGGGTCAGTGACATAAGGTCCTGCGGAACTCCGAACCCAGAAGTCCTTGACCATCACTGTGTCGTCAGCAGCAGATGGAGCTGCTGCATGGGCCGTGACATCGACCCAATGAATATGAGTATCTAGGTGCCGGCTTTTGCGTGTGGTGATGTCATGCCCATGGTCGCACGACTGTTGCGTGGCTCTGTGCAGGTGCTGCCATGGAGTCACCAGTGCACCATTGCTAGCATGTGCTGCATCGCATCATGTCGATCTTGTGAGCGAAGAGCCGAAGTTGCCGTATGCACTACGATTAAGGAGGCAGCGAGACGAGATGGCGCTGAGGATGTCAAGGGCGGGGCAGCTCTTTCAATACGACTCAGGCCTCTCAGGCCTCGCACAGCATGCACTCGCTGTCGGGCGTCCTCAGCGGCACCAAACAAGGCTGGCCGGAGGGGAAGAAGCAAGCAAGCATTCATCAGGCAAATGAATGTTTCTATCGGTCAGCTGGAGCGGCCCAAGCGGTCGGGTTGTAATACGAAATCGGTGCCCGGACATTTATTCAGAGCTGAAAGGTGCTAAACAGGTCGATCACCAGATTATTAGCGAGCTATGGCTTCACGTGTGCCATCGCCCGGAGCGACTGTCTCACGTGAGGAAAAGGCCATGCAGGCAGTTGCGCCATCATCACGTTCCTGAGATGTTGACAGCGCCGACAAGTCACTGTTGGTCGACCGTTGGGATTGTTCTGGAGGGTTGAGAGAGGGCATCATTCGCTCAGAAAACGCTGCCGGCCAGAGAGGGGGAATCGCGGCCAGCCATGGCAAGGATGCAGTGTCGCACCGCACGCCCAACAGGCCGGGTTATTGAGATGTGAGATGAGCAAAGTTGGGGGGCGTGAGACAAGGGGAGGAGGGCGAACTCCAAGCGCTGTCAGACGTGCCAATCAAAAGAGCAACGATGATGGCGACGGGGAATTTTCCCCATGACTGGAAGATCGACGTGGGGGAGCGAGCTGATTGTTCTCCTGCTGGTCGCCGGATGCAGAGCTGGTGAATCCCAGCGTCGAAGGGGGGGGGGGGGGCAAGGAAGCCAGGGGTAAGCCATCGTCAAGACGAGCTGGACACTGGGGAGCGTGGGGGTTCCCCAGATCAGGACGTGTTCGGCGGGCTTGTCTCGTACAAGTCTGAGAGGGGGGTGGAAACAGGGGCCGTTGTGCTGTCTGTGTCTGTGTACGGCCGCGCGTGACCGACTGAGAAATAGTCTGTTGAGGTGTTGAGGGGCGCTGGTACGTAGATAGACAAATCAGAACCTTGACTACGTGTGGCCTGGCCACCCCCACGTCGCAGTCACCGACCATGTTAGCCAAGAGCATCCGAAAGCCGCACACCAGGCCATCATGGGGCTCCTGTCTGGTGGGAGACAGACATCCGGCCGGCGCGCACCTCAGCTGGACCATCAAGCCGATGAGCGGCGGTATCCGAACGAGTATATAGCAGGTGCTCAGTGCCCTGGTGTCCGGTCACTGTTCTTTCATTCTCGCCATCACCACGCGCATATTTTCTTTTTCAAAACGTTGCTCGTCGTTCTCAGCCAGGCGAGAGTTCCTGCTGATCCTGCTGCTATCAGTCAGCACCCCGCCTTCCAAAACGCACAACTCCCCATATACAGACGCATTGATCATGCCTTCAACATTGACACCACCCCCAGCGGAAGCAACATGGGTTGCCGGTCAGCCCAAGGCCGTACACCATCGTCTTCCCGACGGCGTCTATGTCCCGACGCTGTGCTTCTTCACGGAAAATGACGAGGTCGACCTGAACGTCCTGGAGCGCCATCTCGTGCGTCTCATCAACGCCGGCGTAGCAGGCATTGTTGTTCATGGCTCCAACGGCGAGGTAGCCCACCTCACAAGAGAGGAGCGCGCGGCCGTCATCCGATGCGCCGCCGACACGATCCACCAAGAGGGTCACGATGTCCGCATCCCCCTCATTGCCGGGTGCGGGGCCCAGTCGACGCGAGAGACGCTGCAGCTCTGCCGGGACGCCGCCAAGAGCGGGGCATCCCACGCTCTGATGCTGCCCCCGAGCTACTACGGCGGTCTGCTCGACGACAACAAGATTGTGGATTACTTCCATGACGTGGCCGATCAGAGCCCGCTGCCGTTGCTCATTTACAACTTTCCCGGGGCGGCGGCTGGGCGCGACCTCTCTTCCGATGTTATCCTACGAATCGCAGCGCATCCCAACGTTGTTGGTGTCAAACTGACGTGCGGGAACACGGGCAAACTAGCTCGGGTTGCGGCGGACGCGCCCGAGGGTTTCTTCGTGTCAGGAGGAAGCGCCGACTTTATTCTGCAGGGTATGGTCGTAGGCGCACATGGCACCATCTCTGGGCTCGCCAATGTGGCACCGCGGGCCTGCGTACGCATCATGGAGCTTTTCAGGACGGGTCGGCTCCTCGAAGCGCGACGTCTCCAGGCTATGGCCGCCAAGTGTGACTGGGTCGCCATCAGGACAGGTTTCGTCGGTGTCAAGGCAGCTATTGGACACTTTGAGGGATACGGTGGAGAGCCACGACGACCATGCGTGGCACCAACACCACAAGAACTGAAGGGCATCGTGGAGGGCATGGCCGAGTTGCGCAGAGAGGAGGCGGCTCTGGAGAGCGAGGCGTGAAGAAGCCTGGGCGGATCGAATTCAGGACCGAGGTGCATGTATGCTCCCCAACCCGGGCTGTCTCGCTGGGCGGGTTTTCTGGAGTGGCGGGGAGGATTCCACAGCATTGCTGGGCGTTTGGTTAATATTTGTGGATCTTGTTCTTCGGAAAAGCCTCTGTACGAAGTAATAATGGAAAGTGATTCGTCGTATGAAAGCTGCAAGCGCCCAGCCAAGTCGTCAGATTCGCGTCAGTGGCATGATTTTGCAGCACATCGTGAGCGCCTCCTCCCACGGGTGGGATAGTGCTGTGTTCTAGACTGCTGGAGTGACCCCCACCGAACGAGCGAGGCGACAACCGTTCCCCGTCGGGGTGCATGCTGAGAGGAATGTTACTTCGCTTCAGGGGCGGGGCTCGTCGGGCAGAGATCGTCTGAGCGGCGGGAAAGAGTACTTGGTAGTGACCGGTCAGACATCGTTGGTGCTGCTGAATGCCACCTTATTGATGGGTCGTATCACAGGATGACTGCGAGGTTGCCACATTTTTTTCTGTTTCTGGAGACTTGCATCAGAGGGACTCTTGCAATGGCTGGGCGATTTGACCCGAGAAAGAGAGAGGCAACACACCATCTCGAGGTCATCAGAGATCTGCTGCCCGCGTAAGGCTAGGAGGGGGCCTGTGCCAGCTATTGGATGGCCAGCTGGGTGGAGGGGGGCCAAGAGGCGGCGCATGCACCCCGCAATCACCCAGCGTCAGCAGGGTGACAGCACCGAGAGTAGCTACAGTGTTAGAGTTTCTCCTCGGGTTGACCGTTGGGACGCCGAGGAGAAAAGGGGGGGGGGGGCTGTGCCAGACGAAGTAGAGACACAGACAGGAAGAGAGAGGTGGTGTAGAGTCGGGAGGAGAGAGGGCTCGTCAGAGAAGGGAAAGTCCACCAATGGACAGCTGCTTGTTGCGAAGGATACTCTGGCAAACGTTCACACCTGTGCAGGGCGTGTGATATGACCTGAGGGGGATGCCACCAGGCCTCCGCCAGCGCCCATTAGGTAACGACTGGACCCCCCCCCCCCCCTCCTTGGAAACCTACTGGATGGCAGATGGACAGTAAATGGGGCGAGCCACTGCACTGGCCGGGGCGATTTGGGTGGTCTGTATCGGCGTCGGGGGAACATCGACACATGGATCAAGTAATAAGAGAGTAATTGTGTTACATGGTACACTTCGCGACCGCGATCAGCCGGCACTGACCGGCGCGGAGGGCTGTCCGCGGCCGGGGAGCGTAGGGAAGAGGGGACACGGCATGGATTCCCCCACGCCGGCTCGCTGGGAGAACAGAAGCTCGGTGACGATCCGGCAGGTTTTGGAATGGCATGCTGGATTGAACTCAGCGGAACTTTTCGGGCCAATGACCCACGAGCAGGAATCGACCTGAGGTGGCGTCTCAGCATGCGGTCGCCTGTTGGTGCACGGGACACAATCCCAACTTTCGAGGCGACCATGGCAGCACATGAGATGAAGCTCGAGATGGCAGATGATAAATGGCTACCTGAGGGCCGCATGGTGTGTCAGCTGAACCGGCTTCTTGGCAGGTGTACTAACCTACCTTGAGGTACCTAACTACTTGAGGTCCCTGGAGGTAGACCAGGGCCTTATGTCGTTTCGCTTGGAGCTCGGACGAGCCGAACACTGGTAACGACGGACTGTTTCCAGTTCAGCGCCGCAGTCTGATCCTGCGATGAGTGCGCGCGAGAACCGCGAGGGTGAAGTTGGATGAGATTCTTTGGTCGCTGAATGAAAGTCAGCGACTGCGTTCGACGACAGATGTGCTGGTCTCATGCTACAACCGATTCTGGACCTAAGGACTCCTAGATAAGATACCTACCTGAAAGTCGCTGAGGTACCTGCCTACTGTCTCCCGGAGTCCTGAGACAAACTGTTGCTGGCACAAGCATCACTGCCAGAAGAAGCATCAAGGAAGCACAAACCCCCAGCCAGATGCTCAAAACGTTGCTCTGGCAGGGGCGACCTGGTGATGGCTCAATCAATGCTCGGTATGGGTTCCTGCCGCTAATTCAGGCACCTTGTGCGAAGCCTCACCTAGCCTCGCCACGACGCCTTGGCATCGTCCAGTAGTTGATTTCAGGTATGGTCGAGATACCTTATTCTCTTCGGGCGAGTCCGGGCGTTTTCGTCTGTGTGTGGTCTCAGATAGACTGAAGCATCATCGCAAGAACCTTCCCATGTGTGCCCTGATCTATAAGAAACGGTGTAGGCCCAGGCGCTTTCACGATCCTTCAATTCCTTCAGCCCACCCGTCTCCTGCGTTCTATTCTCGTCCCGCCCTACACTTTTCGTTTCTCATTCATCTGTAGGCCGGTCCTCCCACATATTGTGAATACTTTCTTTGCCGTCAACCCCATTTTAATCCGATCCCGAAGTGCTCAATTGTAGCACACCGTTGTCAATCGCCGTCCACATCAAGCTGCCACTCTTCGTCCCACCCGAAGGCTCGCCATGTACGCCTCGCAGCTCCTCCTCTCTGTGGCCGCTGCCTCGACTGCCGCTGCTGCCAACATTGCTCCGCGCGAACCGACACCCACCACGGCGGCCGCGCATGTCGCCGGCCGCGATCTCGCAGAGTGCTCATCCGTCGCTGCCGACGTGCTGCCCCAGCTCACGAGCGCTCCCACACCCGACTCGGACCTCGCACGTTTCATCCTGACCGAGTCAGCCATCCTGTCAGCCGAAGACCAGTGCGCCGTTCCGTCCGTCACGGGCTCCATGGCCTCCGAGTTCACCAGCTACGCCAACGCATTGCTGGCCTGGCAGGAGGACCACATCAGCGAGTTTCGCAGCCTGTGGCAGGCCTGCAGCGACGTGCCTGGCATCCGCGACCAGGTCGACCTTCCCACGGGCTCTGGCTCATGCGCCAGCCTCGCGGCCAAAATCACGGGCGAGGCAGATCCCGCGGCAACGGGTACGTCGGGCAGCGACGGCTCGCCTGCTGCAACGGACGCGTCGGCGTCACAGTCTGACAATGCCGCGCCGCGTGAATCGGGACGCGTGCTTGTTAGCATCGCAGCAGGTTGTCTCGCCGCTGTTGGTCTGGTGTACTAGGCAGCGGGCGGTATCGAGCCAGATGAGTAATGCGGAGGAAACTGGCTTGGAAGGGTTATAGAACGGCCAGGGCGCTTCATTGCAAATGCGATTAACAGGTCCATGGGCCATCTCGTTTAGCCCGTCAGAGTGAACAAATAAATATTAGTATTGCGTCAGGCATCTATGGTCATCCATCTCGTTATTGTAGCAGTGCAAACTCCCAGTCAGCTTGGTCACTACGACCCCCTGTTGTCAAGTCTTTCTTCAACCAACAGGCCCCTTCGGCGGGCCCCCAGCCGCTGCCGGTGCATCCTGGGGTGCCGGCGCAGTTCCGCATGCATTCAGCCATGCTCTCTGTCCACAGAGTGCGAATATCTACGGCGCCCTCCTGTGATGGGTAATCGACGCCACAAAGCCGTAGAAAACGTATGCTGGAGCCTGGGACGCCGTAGAGGGTATAATTGGACTCGGGGCATATGAGGGAACCGGGGCTTGTAGCCGTAGGAAACGCCGCGTCACTCGATACTGACGCTGTTGTTGCGTCCGGCGTCGCGGGCGCCGTGCTTGCCGATGGCGAGCTGGAGAGTAGTCAGCAGTGCTCTTGTGTCAGGTTGGCCCTAGAAGTGTACGCACCTCTCTATCGTCATTGTTCCCAATTCCGTTGACGCGGACGTCGTCGGTGATGCAGACAAAGAGCTCGAAGGTTCAGCCTCGGACGCAGCAGCAACACTGGGTCCGCCCGACGACATGCCCACGCCTACACCGACGCCTACGCCCACGCCGATCAAGACGATGAGCGCCAAGGCGACGATGCCCCAAAAAACCCATGCCCTCAACCCACACATTCGCCGGTTCAACCTCGCCTTCCCTGCCCAGCGACCGAAGCCTGCCTCATCGTCGCTGGGCGTGTCGATGCCAACACCCGTTCGTCGTTTCTCTTGAGGCTCTGGTGTTGGTTCCCGATAAAACGTGTAGCTTTCACCTTCATCACCGCGGCTGTAGCCAGATGGCGTCGCACCCTCGGACCAGTAGACTTCCGGTGCGCCGTTGCCTTGCGCAGAAGCGGGCGGGTGGTAGAGGGATGTCCGATTGTTACGACGAGCACCCGGACGTGGTTGTACGGGCTTCGGCGTAGATGTCTGGGATGGTGGCTCGCTGCCTATGATGCTGGCAGCCATGTCGGATCGCGGGCCATGGCGGGGGGGAGGCGTGGAAGAGGCGGAGGAAGCGGCGCCTGAGCGCATACAGTCCGATAGGCAGTTCGATTGATAAAGTGAAGACAGCGGCGACGCTGGTCGGTCGTGTTTCGCGTTGGTGATCTGTCAATGCTTTACGGCGAATGGTGCTTACGGCGAATGGTGCGTCACGGTGATCGGATGGGAAAAACGCGACTTCTGGGAGGGAAATTGGAGATGAGTCCAATGCAGGCGGACAGGAGCAGGTTTTTGGATAACCCAGCACGAGCGGCAGCACTCGCCGTCAAGGTCGTGGCAGACCTGCCATGGCAATCTCGGAACCGCAGGCCTCCCTGGACAGACCCCTGTAGCCGTGGCCACTTCTGGGTGGCCAGCCAGGGCGACTGAGCGTCATCGGTGGACTCTTCCAGTGGGCTTGATCCCCAGACTGTGAAGCCGTCGGACATTATTCCCCATCATTGTGGTCTGTCATAGTGCGGAGGGCGATGATGAGAGAGGAGATCGCGATATGTTTAGAGGTCTCCTCTCCCAGGAACGCGGATCTGCACGCAAGCTCTATTGCTTCTTCAGCGGGCAGGTGGGACGGGGACCTGCATTCCTGACTTGTATCGACGGGGGGTAGGTACCTTAGGTACAACGAATAGATCATCTCCCTAGCACACGCGAGTGACACGTGCCCAAGCCGTAATTTGGTGGCTCAGGTCGGAGGCCCAGCACAAGCTGTGCTTACCGTCCCTTCTTGCGCGCACTAGCCCTAATTAGAACTACTAGCCCTCCTTGGGACGTGGCTCATCATCCCCTTTTCATCTCACGATGGCATCACCAGTCTCGATACAGGTAAGCAATGCGATGCGCCGGTTTGGTCGATACGGTCGATGAATTATCAAGCATCAGAGGCGCGGAGAGATGAGAGACCATACGTACCATGCACATGTACATGTAGCAGCTGGGCCGTCAATCCACCCCGCAGACAGGGGCTCGCAAGGATTGCCGCGGCCGCTGATCTATCATCTCGGACGATATGGGACCCCAATCCACAAGTCCCCTAGTGGAGCAACTGCAGCTGTGCGGATGCACCGGCGTCGAGCTGAGAGACGGCCCACCAGAAGACCGTCACCCACCCATTGTGACATATCAACCGTGGAACTTGGTGTCGTCGCTCCGAGGACGTCCATTGCCGCCTGCTCTCGTGATAGCCTCATCCGTCACTGCCATCGTGCCACATCCCCCGCCATGTCGGATCCGAACGAGCGTCCACCGCCTCTGCCCATGCGGCCCTCGACTTACGAGCCAAGCCTGTCGATACCACAAATGTCAGGACCTCAGTCACCGCCGCTGCCCCCAAGACCAGCCGGATATGCCGCACCATGGTCGACATCGCAACAATTTGTTCCGCCTCACGTACCACAATACGTCCCTTCACAAGCATATGTCCCGTCGTCTTGGCCTAACTTCAGACAAGCTTCGCAGGCAGGGACCACGGCGACGGCCTGTCCTCCTGCACTGCCTGCGCGGCCTTGTGCTCCCCCTCCCCCCCTTCATCATGCCACGGCTTCGACAAACATCGCGCACGGCGCGCCAGCTCCCGCCCCTCAGTATCCTAATGCCACACTCTACGGAGCGAATGTGAACGCTGCTGCCTTTCAGCCTCCTGCGGGCCTGAATATTCCGAAGCCGGCAGGTCTTTCAGCCCGTATCAAAACTGGCCTCCAAGATGTCGAGCGCATGTTCGCGTCCCTGGCGGTGGGACAAGCACCGCCAGTGGTCAGCCCACCTGTGGCTGCACCGCATTCATTTCCACCATCCGAAGAACATTCAGCGCCATCCCTAGGCAGCGACTCTCCTTCGAAGCCGTTGAATCGATTTCCTACTGTAGGGCTTACAGCCTGTGTTGCGGATCCTATCGCGTTCTCTTCAACGTGGTATATCCACGACGATGCGCCCAACTTTCCTGTTTGCTCACGCTGCTTCGAGGACCACATCCGGAATTCTCTATTTGAATCGAACTTCAAACCGCGAGTGTTTGATAGAGGTTGGCCCAGTGGGTGCAAATTCAGCAAACCAAGGGTTAAAGACCAGTTATTCAGGCGCGCCGTGGCTGACGGGTCTCTCTCGCTGCTGGTTGCCTTCATGAAGTTGCGGCCAACGATCGCGGACTGTAGAGGCGTGACGGGTGCTTTAGGATCCGAAGGCATCCGGTGGTTCCGCCTGAAAGATCAAGCCATCCCCGAGATGGTTGTCTGCCAAGCATGTTACGAAGACCATGTGAATGCCCGTCACTGGGCGGACAAGTTTGCACTTTCAACAACTCAGCCACCCGACGCGCAGTGGGCATGCGATATGGCTGTTGAACACATCCAGCGCGAGTACCGCTATCGAGCAGATATGGATGATTACCCAAGCTTCGTCCAGCAAGTAAAGCGTCGGCTGTACATGCCAGCTTGCGAGAAGAAGCTCGTCGTGCTTGCGCTGCACACATGGTACACTCCAGTCAATGGCCCTAGGCAAGTTCTCGTCTGCGAGACCTGTTATTGCGACAAAATTGTGCACACTGGCGAGGAGGTCAGGTGGCGCAGGGTCGGCAACATGCCAGCGGACTACGGCAATCAAGCCCATTGCGCCCTTGGCCATTTCAATGTCCGTATCGCATGGGGTCGAAGCGAAGATTGTCAGGACTACTCCATTTTCTGGCATGCCTTGCACGAAATCTACCGCCAGCCCAAATGCGACCCGAGCGGTATGCGAGGAGCCAACTGGTATACCCTGACATCGCGACCCGCCAATTTCGAGATCTGTGGTGCTTGCTTCGCCGGTATTGCCGAGCCCGCAGGCCTGTCATCGCACTTCGTTCGAAGGACTGACGTTCCAAGTAACAAGACGCTCGTGTGCGACTTTAGCACCGGCAGCCCGCGGTTCTTGGCCTACATATCTAAAGCGCTCGAGGCTTACTACCTGCGCGATATAAGTCCGCTTGAGTCTTTCGTGCGCGACTACGCAAACATGCCGGTGTGCCGGCGTGATGAGGACTTTGAGAATGGAGTCTGGTACGGCTGGGAGGACTGCACGATTTGTCCGAGCTGTCACCACGAGTTTGTTAAAGATACCGCCTTGGCATCAAAAATGCCGCTGCAGGGTGTCGTTCGCAAGGGCCACACGATGTGTGAGATGTATAGCCCCAGAATGCGTCGTCTGTATGCGGAAGCGTGCGCACAGTCTCCCCCGAATGCGGCGAACCTGTTGGCCATTTCGGCCGAACGCAGAACAATTTACATCAAAACCATGATGGTCTGTCGTCGCATGTTGATTCAACAACAGATACAGGCGCTACAAGCGCAGACGCTCGGTATTCAGGGATCATTCTATACGAATATGGGTCATATGCAGTCGATCACGACGCCATCACCATGGGAGTATAGCATGGCCGGCGTCGGCTACGGCTTCGCCAACCAAAATGAGCTGACGGGTGCTATTTACAACAAACAATCTTCGGAAATGTCGTTGAATGCGATGGGTTCTGCGGCTAATGTTGGACTGCTCGAGCAGCAGTGGAGAGCCGTCGAGTAGCGTGTGCTCCGACCTGATGATGAAGTTCACCACACAGCTAGCGTCGTCTCATCCTGCATATTGACCCGGACGTGCCGGCCGGACGGCCTGACAATGCCACATGTACAGAATCCGTTCCTGTTTCATCAATATTTAGTGAGTTTGCGATGGGGCCTTTGGCCTTGCTCAGGCATCACCGCCCAATTCATCCATCGTGGTGGTCGAAGAACATCATCCTGACTAGTGCCCTGGAATAGAATTCACTGCACATCCCATTGCGCGCTTTGTCTAGCAGGACTTGAATGCACAGCAGACAGCTTCTCAGGACGCGGTCGCCCGTCTACAATTGGGCAGAGCAACCAACGAATCTCGAGATTGTTCCGCACGGCAAAGGGCATCACATTCACTACGGGGCCCAAGCTTTGACGCTCATTAAGAGAATAGTGCGGTCTGGACTCTGCTCTTAATCTGGGGGTCTTGGCTTTCATCTGCCTGACGGATATCTCGCGTGGCTTGTTCCCCGATTTGCGAGGGTCACACAGCCAGCTCTATGGTGCTCAGAACAAGCAAGTCCTGCGAAGACTGAGTCGCGACCACAACTTAAGAGCCCAGGGTGTTTATGCTCGCCGCAATAGGCGCCGAGATTTGTCCTGGACACCATGAACATGAATCAGATTCACTTGCTGCATGACAACGCAGACAGGATGACCTCGTCCGATGCAATTGATCCCGACGCGGTGTTTCCAGCAAGGCAGCACTATCTCAAATGAGTATCGTAACTGGCCAGGGCATATAGTGGGAACACAGGCGACAGTCTTGGGGCAGAGAACACTCAAAAGAGCCATGGTCTCATTGAGTATAAAGGCCGCCGTGTTCTGTTCGGCAAGTCTTCTTGGAAACCATCAGTCTCGACGTCTCAATCCTACAATACCGTTCCCACACGCTCTTGATACTCGCTCAACATGAAGTCCCCTATTGTCTTCCTATCCGCCATCGCCGTTGCCTCGGCTGCTGTCACCACAACACTCCCCAAGTCAGCCGGGGTCGAGGCCCACCCTACTGCCATTCCCGTCAAGACTGTTTACGATGGTGGCATGAAGCGCTTCGAACGTGATCCACCGACATGTGGTGGTCAACAGGAAAAGGGGGAGAAGGACGCAATGTTCATCCTCGAGAGCGGTGCAACGCTCTCCAATGTCATTTTGGGCGCTTCTCAAGCTGAGGGTGTTCACTGCAGGGGCACCTGGTATGTGTGACTCTTTTGCGAAACGTTTCCAGAGCTGAACGACTCTAGTACCCTGAACAATGTCTGGTGGGAGGACGTTTGTGAGGATGCTGCCACCTTCAAGCAGCCTTCGGGCACGTCATTTGTCAATGGCGGCGGTGCCTTCAAGGCCAAGGACAAGATTCTCCAGTTCAACGGCCGCGGTACCGTCCAGATCAAGGACTTCTACGCCAACACGTACGGCAAATTGATCAGAACTTGCGGCAACTGTCCCGGCAATGGTGGGCCACGTCACATTACAATTTCAGGATCCATGGGCAAGGGGGGAGGTGAACTCTGTGGCATCAATAGCAACTATGGCGATACATGCCGTGTCAGCAACTCCTGCCAGGACAGCAACCACAGTTGTACCAGGTACGAGGGTAACGACCAGCGCCTCGAGCCTCCGACGCTTGGAAGTGGTCATGATGGTGTGAGCTGCTTCCTCACCAATTTCTCTAGATGCTAAATGAAGCGCTTGCGTTCATACTGTAAATGAGCAGCCGGAACGTACATATTTTGAGACCAAAATACGTCCTACATATTTCGACAGCTCGAAGCAGCTTGAAGCAGCTTGAAACTGACAAGTGGAGGCCGCTCCTTGACAAGTGATCAAATTGTTCCAACTTGATTCTCAACCACATCATGCCATAGGTGTTCTTCAATCTTCCTGGTCTTGCGGCCTCAGAGTACGATACGATCGTTGGGCAATCCGCCAATGATGACCTCGATACGCGATGAAAGATGTTCAAGGCCGAAACTAACACAGGCCGCACATTAACCCTGAGGAGGAAGCCTGGTGTCTGAATCACAGATTATGGTTCAGCCAAAAGGAAATGGAGAAATCAAGGATTAAGGGATCACAATCAGTACAGTACAATACCCAGCGTTGGTTCAACAATGTCGTTCAAGGGCCCCTTCTCAAACACGATTGACTCTGGCTGGGGGTTTCGGACTTCAGTCACTTTTCCGCTCCATGCATCAGAACAATTTCCATCAACTAGCGCTTGCATTTGATAATATCAAACTAATCACGTCTCTCCCCGAGGTTGATACTTTGCCATCCCTCCCTAACTATGAACCCCCTTCGTTTCACGAATCGTTTCTTCGACATGGTCGATCTGGCGCATGAAGCCACGCATAGCCTCAACGTGGAAGCTATCCACGCTTTTGAACCGTATCCATCCATCAAGAGTTATTTGCCCGTATTTCCGCGCATTCGGAATATCGAGCCGTTCAAGGTAGATACTGGCTAAAATTTCGTGGTACTCATGCATGAGGGGTGTCAACCCTTCAGCCTCAGAAAGGCTTAGAAGCTCTTCGGCGTGCGTGATAGCATCGGTAAGCTTCCCTTTCTCATGAGCCTTCCTCATGTTGCCGCGAACCTCGACGATGCGCATCCTCCTGGCATCAGAAATGGCCCTGTCCTCCGGGCTTGACTGACAAAGGGAGCAACGGCAGTGAAACCCGTAATTATCAAAAAGGTATTTCTTCCGAACTTTGTGCGGCATGCCGAGCGGAGCATCTAGGTGGATTAGCGAGCGATCGAGCCAACGAGAGGGGATGTCACACAGTTTATCGTAATTTCTTCGCCTGCACGGATATCGCGGTAGGCAATCACTTGCATCGTCAAAGTTCGCTGAGAGAAACGGAAAAATGCACTGGGGAGTCAGCAGTTGCTTAAAACAGCATGAAGGGCTCCTACTTTGGCTTGCACGCATGATTCAAGCGCTGGGGAAACGTCAGCATTGCACCGCAAGCGTATCCTAACCACATACTGAGACTTCCGGGAATAGACCAATGTGAGCTTCATTGTCCCCAAGGAAAACGCCACATGTGTTTGTCGTGACAATATCGTACATGGGCGTGAGGGGGTCTGCCCCATCTGAGCGAGCCAGATTCACTAGACGTTTCTGTGTGTCTTTTGGAAGCTGTGATAGCGCTCGTCTGAAGAACGTTTCTCGCATCTCTGGTTGCATCTGGTAGGAGAAGTCGCTCGCCACCAGCACGGCAGGATAATCGAGCATGAGTATTTCGCCCTGACGAATTGTCCTTTGCGCAATGACTCCCTTGCCTCTGCCAGGGAGATCCTTCACAGCGTACGACGAGCCTTTGTTTGTGACGACTGGACCAGGCGTAAAGATCCGCCGCTCCCAGTCCCATGAGTCTTCCATGTCCTCTAGAGCGCCGGAGGCCACAATGTCTGCTGCAATCTCTGGCGAAGTAGTAATACTCAGTCCATGGTTACCACGGAACGTGTGGTGAGCGAAAAGGCAGTAGGCAGCCTTGGCTTGTCCGGACGGTGTGCCCTGCTCGGATCGTGCGTAAACGCAGCTGAGCTCATGAGTCCATGGGTCAACATTGTCGCCGGCCCTCTGAGGATCGCCAAGCGGCAGTGGGCATTCTGTCCGTTCCTGTTGCGCCAGAGGTGGTGCGATATGCCAGCGACATTGCGTGGATGTGTTCGACCACGCAGTTGTACAAACGACGAGGCCTGTGAGGCCAATCACTGCTTTTCGCCACATGGAATCGATACAGCTGCTAAGAAGACGCAACAGGTTTCCATGTTTCTCACCATGTCCACGCGCGATGGCGTGAAATCAGTTGATATACCGAGATGAAGACAGATTCGCGCCAAGCTCAACGTCCTTTTTGGTCACGGCACATGGTGTTCCATACCACCCCACCCCCAACAGGGCATCGTTCCATAGTTCATGCTATCGAATGCGGAGTCTAATGCGACAGGAGGTCGTAGTCTACATATCCCTGGCGGCTGATATTCCCCGAGCGACGAGGACGAAGGCGCTGAGTTAAGGGCGTAAAACAGCCATGGCTGAGAGGAAACGATAGGTGGTGAGGTTCTTCGACCCCCAAGAATCACGTGTGGATCCCGACGCGGCCCGCTCCTCCCTCAGTCACGTCGGTGACGTCACATGCACTACATTCCAACAACTCGCAAGGTCCAGTACAGCCAGGCATCTTTGACTTGCCCGCAACAACGTCAAGCGTGATACCGCAGGAACAACGACCCACCATGAAGATTCGCGAGTCTCTCATATCGAGGTCCATTCTTAAGGCAATCGCACAAGATGAATCCGACACAGCGCCGAACAAATCGAGGCTCCATCACCGAGTCATCAGGCTCGTCCTTGCCTTCTTTGCCCTGTTCAAGCTTTTCCTAACTCGGTATCGTCGCAATGACTTTGCTTCCTTGCGTGAGGGTGTCTGGAAGCTAGATGAACGCGAGTATCTCGACTCTTTCAGGCCACTGCAAACACCAGACGGCGTTGAGGGACAGCAAGTCCAAGGCGATAAACTGAGACTGAAGCCTGTCGGAGACTTGGGCTACAGTGGCTCGACATTCTTTACTACTCCGAACTCCAAGTACCTCATCAAGTCTCTTCCTCGTCGATTTGAGCACACGTTCTTCACACACGATCTCTTCAACCCATATGTCGACCACATGCGCAACCATCCCCACAGCTTGCTCGTGCGGATCGCCGACATGGTGTACACACCCCACCCCACGCTTGGTGGCATCATCGGTACGGCACCGACCCATCATATTATCATGGAGAACCTACTGTATGGAAAGCAAGAGAGCGGCGACGACTGGCATGCCATGAAGTGGGAGACGTACGACCTCAAACCCAGTAACTACTTCTTCCCAGAGCGCGATATTGCCGATGGCAATCTGGCTCCTCAGAGTGTCAAAGACAAGCTGGTTGACGAGTTCCCTGACCGCGTCAAGGTCGACGCGAAAAGCAAGAAGGAACTGCTCGACATATTGTCTCTCGACACACAACTCTTGGCCGACAAAAATGCCATCGACTACTCCTTGTTCCTCGTTCGATATCCAGGCCCTAACACCACGGATCCGCAACCCGATGTCGCCAATGTCAAATCTGAGGCTGAACTCTGGCGAACGGGCATGACAGATTCGGCTGGCTTATGGACGTACCGGGTGGTGGTCCTTGACTTCTTCTGGGCGAGGCACAAGTTTCATGCTCAGGCCATGACTGGCCTTGTCAAGCTGTTCAATAAGGTCGCTCACAAGGGACCAATGAGCATCACCGCCAATCCGACGGAGTACCGAAAGAGATTCCTTAGCATGGTCGACGCCATTGTTGTGGAGGTTTGATTACGGACTGTCAGTCTTTTTCCTACTTGTCTGATTACATGTCTGAGCGAGGCGCTGGTAGGTTCAGGTTCCAATAACATATACCCTGTTGCCCATGCTATTGTAGATCGTTGACTGGTTGCTTCAACGTAAGTATTGCTACTCGTATGTGGACGCAGATTGGGCGGGATACACAAGTCAACCTGCGAATTCCGCAGCTGTAGTATATGATTTTTACAAGCTGGCAGGCGTGTGCGTACACCTGCCCGTACATGGCGGCTCTCATTTTATGAATGTTCCGCTTGAACTTGAACCATTCAACCGCTTCTTCTTGCTTCTTCAATTGGACGAGGGTTCTTCTCACATTTGACATAACAAGTCCTGCCTTGCTTCCAGCGCTCTTCCTCATTCACCAACCCCGCCAATTATATCAAACTGCCTACCTATCTACTCTAGATGTGCGGCCTACCCACGTCCTGACCAGGATCTAGACATAACATCGCCTTGAAGAACCAGAAAAGCCTCCGGTGCGTCCCAATCTCCTTGTCCGTCGACGAAATTATCAACCTGAGGTAGAAAGCGCCTCTATTGTTCTTTCACCTTTCAATCCATCAAATTCTCTCTGCATACTCAATATCTAGAATAGCGACCTCTCCCACAAACACTTAACTCAATCATAGCTAATGTATGGATTTCCCCTCTTCGCAGGTTTGGGCATGACTACTTCAAAACGCAAGGACGTGAACTGACGTATTATGCAGTACCTTCCCAACCTCTTCATCAACAAAGACTCTGACCAACGAGCGAGCCGCGCCATCGACCAAGCATTTACTCTAGACACAATGGCGCAACACAGACCTCCCGAACCCCCCCTATCACATTCTTATCGTGCGGCCTTTGCCACTAGGTTCGACACTGATCGCGTAGCTTCCCGCCAGATCCTTGACCATGGCATGCAGAATCGCATCATACGTGGCCTTCAGACCTCAGCCTGTGGCACTCCTCGCTGCACTATGGAAGCTCAACATTTGTGCGAAGAACTCTCTCTTCAGCGCTACTGGGCTGAAGACTTCGTCTCAAGATTTCCCGAACATCGTGGGGAGTTTGCAGCCATGCAACTGATACAAGCTTTACCTATGGGTGTTCAAAAGCCGCACTACATCCAGATAGGCCCACGCGAGGTCTCTGCTTCGGAGCAGAATCCGAGCCATTCACCTCGTGCAACGCAGTACCCCTCCGCATTTCCTGCTGAAAACAAGGGTGAATCTCATCCACATCCTTCCGCCATAGAAATTCCCGTCACCTCGGACGACAATACACCGCTGATGCCTCGTTCTCATTGTGTTGAGCCGATTGCCGACTTGCTTACCTTCGCAATTGTTGGCAACGAAACGCCGGCACCTCGCCCGGCCACGCCAACCGTCAACCATGGAGCCGACAGCTTTCCGAAAAAGGACTTGGGTGAACGGGAATCCCAGGATGCGCTCCATATGGCTGACACCATTCATGTTGCAAGTGATTCGAAACCCGACGTTTCCCCCGAACAACCCTTTGAGCCAGCACCGAATACTCCTCTTACATTTCTTGCCCAGCTCAAGGCTGGCGCCTTTGGTCACCAGTCCCAGTCACGTACCGTGATCATTAACAACCTCCCTAACAATGTTGGCATTGGTCAGGTCCTTGAGCATGTCTGTGGAGGCCGCGTCGTCAAAGCTATTCTTGTCAGCGTGGCAGGACTTCCCGGGTTGGGAGACATGTCGGCGATAATTACTTTCGAGACGCCCCAGGCAGCGCAGAGGTTCATGCAACTCGCTGCTCAACGAAAATTTGGCTTCAAGACAATCAATGGTAATCATGTGGAGGCCTCGGTCGTGTCTTCTGGTGTTGCGTCGCACCCCTTCAAGCCTAATGTAGGCAGGTTGCTCGAGATGGGCTGCACCAGATGCCTCCAGGTGCGTGGACTCAACAGCTCCCGCATTAGCAGGACTGTTCAGGCTGTTTGCCTTGGCCGCCCATTACACCACGTTCTTGCCGAATTCAAAGTCATCGGCGCTCAGGAAGTCGTGCTTGAATTTGCAAGCATTGAATTGGCGACCGCCTGTTTCTTTTTGCTCACACACGCCAAAACACATGAGGGACAGGTTGATGTCCAGGTGCACCGTTCAATTGACCCTTGCAGTGCCAACAACTTCGATGCATCCAAGACGCCTTTCACTGACTGTCGAGCTTTCCCTCACGAGCTCGGCAAACTCATGTCGTTTGACAAAGTCCCGAATCTTCTTTCCATGGAATCGGCAGTCGACTCGTCGGTCAGCACTGGCAGCCGACAGGTCGATGACCGACAGAAGCATGAGATGCGCGAGATTTACGACTTGGCTGGTATGCCATGGCCCGAGGAAGCTCCGCGCGAACGCTACGCCGACCGAGAGCGATCTGATCAATGGCCAAGCTGGGAGGGCGTCGATCGTGAAGGCAGACCCTGTAGGTTTGAGCGCGACCCTCTCTCTGGCGCTGTGCAGTTTCGTCACTGCGTCGGAAACTCACTGACCGAACCTTCAATGTACAGAGAAGAGAGCTATAAAGAATGGCTCCACTACAATCTCGAAACTGAGGACCCCTACGTGCAGGAAAGCCTTGATCTATACTTTGCGGCGGAGGGACTCACCAACATTCGCAAGGTAAATGAATACGTCAAAAAGCGTGAAAGCCAGCAATAGGGAGGATGCTATGGTTTGACTGGTCCTTGAGCACGGGTCCAATGAGTCACACGCGGGGAGTTGTGAAGCGGCCACTTCAGGCCTGGATGAATCTGACGGATTTGGGAGGCGATTTACGTATAGTTGGTCAAGCGTTGCCCGCGGTTGACCTCAGGCGTTGATCAATAGCAGAGCATATGCTCGTCTGGATTCGATTCCTCATATGCTGGGTCATTGCTCTTGACAATACAGTCAGCACATCCCGATAAGACACTCTGCCCAAAATGCTGCCAACGCCGTATCGCTATGTTCAGTTTCTCAATATTCGTGACACGTCTGGCGTCTGAAGTCTGCCGCCGCCACCAAGTATTCCCTCTTCTCAATCATACAATATCTCAGCTGAGGCCATTCTGTTCCATGGCTCATGAGTAGAGGCCGAACGAAGTTTATGCTGTTCCACCAAATTTACTAGCCATCAGCATATCCAGTTCAATGCTGGCTTACTGGTCAGAGTCTGTTCATCGACAACAAGAAGCTGCTCGTCACCATCGTGACCCATGGCTTCGCGGACTTCCGATTTTATTGTACCAGTTGTTCTCAAGTCGGATCCGTTGTCTTCCCCAGCGAAAGCCTCGGACACGCTTGACCACTTTCTCTGCTGTTTCCACGGCGGCGAGGCTGGTCGTCGTGCAGTGTTGGTGGCTTTGTTCTTGCCTATTCCTGCTTTTCGCTTCAACATAAACTTCCGAGCCAGGTCTTGGGGAATGTTTTCTTCGGGCTCCCACGTAGGATTCTGTCCCTCAGGCCACGAGCCTTTCCATCGAACAAGGAAAATCCGCTGAACGCCGTTCTCTGTATCGTGGAGCTTGGTGTCTTCGAGCCGCTTGACTTCATAAACCTCTTCTGATTCATCCTCGGGTTCTGCAGGATGCACTGGCGGTTTCAACGGTACCTTTTTGGGATTCTTCGTCGGTGGTTTGGCTAATAAAGCCGTAGGAGAGTCCATTGGTATCATTTTACTGTTGATTGGAAATCTTATAGAGGGCTGATAATCGGTGATGCTGGGGGACTTGATCATCCGGGTCCATGGCGAACTTCGACGGCCACCCAGCGGCGTGAAACCTGTAAGCGGTGTTGCGGACTGGGTTGTTGATGTTGGAGGGCGAGCGACAGCTGAGGCAACGTGGGTCGAGCTGAGAGATGCAACAGGCTGTGGCCCCATGGCTTCATCTGTTTGCGTGTCACCTTCGGCCTCATGAAGGCTTTTGAATGGCTGCGAGACCGACCGAGAGGACATGCCTTGAGTCTGCTTGTTGGAAGCTGGGGTATGGTTTTTCGGTGAGTCCGTCGATGGGCTTTGCCCGGACGCGATGACGGGAGGACGCTGTAGATTCTGTCGCATCGCAGAGCTCCGAGCGGTTGAGCCGCCGGCGCGGCTTGCATCCAGATCTCGCCAAGGATCCTGTTGTTGCAAATGGGACAGTGAGGATCTCCGTCGCTTTTTTAGTACAGTTTTAGGTCCGCTTGACATTCCTATACCTGTCATGGACATCGTGGAGATTGGCCGTGAGGAATACGTCAGAGATTCGCTCTCGCCGGTCGTATCATCGCCTTCCAATTGTCGTCGAATGGACGCGTCTGTATCGCAAGCGGAGTCGGGACGGCCGTCAGCCTCTATATCCCTAGACGACGCAGTTGGCCCTAAGATCATGGGCGCACTGTCCCTGGGCACTGGCGAAGCGCGCTGGTGAACATGTTTGCTTGCCTTCTTCCTTCTATCCTTCGGTGGCATGCTAGACACAGCATGATCCCTGGAGATGCTCCGAGCTGGTACCTGAAGAGTGCCGTTGCGGAGGTGTATGCCGCGCTCTTTCATCTCTGCCTCTTTGACAAGTTTCACGTTGTCGGCCTCCTCTTCTTTCCTGAGCTCCTCGTCCCTTTCAGCTGCCTTTTTGGTATTCCAGTCCTCGTATGCCCGAGCCGATACATATTCGTGTATACTGCCAGCGTCGACACTGATCATTCCAGCCTGCAGGTCCGTCCACCCAACGAGATAATTGATGTGGACTCTGCTGTCTTTGCTGTTTGGCAAGGTCTTGTATTCGTCATGGATATACGCCGTGGTGTCGTGTTTCGGTAGGAGGGTAATGGGAGCGAGACGTCTTCGGCCGGGGTGATAAGCGCGATACGTAGAGCTAATGGCGACAGCGAGATCCCCGCACACCATAGATCTCTCTTTTCCAGGCCGACTCGAGGGCGCACTCGAAGTCGGTGCCCGGCGTGGTCTCGACATCGCTGTGCATGTTCCAGCAGGTTTTGTTGTTGAGATCGTCAAGGCTTGGTCGCGCGCCAGTCGCGACACGACGCGGGTGCCTTTCTGGATGGCAAGCTTGATCCCCTTTAGAAGCGTCAGTCACGAACGCATGGTTCTGCTGATCTGGAAGCTAACCTCACAGCGGCTCACATCAACACCAGAGGGCGCGATCAAGTTTCGTATTCGCCAACGTGCAGGTGGAATGCTTGACAGCCTACTTTTAGGGTATAATTAGGAGATGAAGAGAGCGTAAAAGAGCGCTAGTAATTAAGCGAGTATCATACTAATAGGCATTCATATCTAGATTTAGTACTAATGAAACTAATCTAGAGCTAATGCTTAAGAAGTATAATAATTTATATATAAATATAAACTATTAAAATATTAAACTTATAGCTAGGATTACTTACTTATATAGTAGGAATAGTAAGAAGTATACTTTTAGCTATACTTTATAAGTACTTAGAAACGGTCTATAACTATATTAATTATTATATATTTAAAATGAAAAAGGTAATTAATTAAATATAATAGCTCTTAAAAAGTTAGCAGTATCTAGTTAATAGTAAAGAAATATAGTATGTTTTTCCCTGGAATTTATCATTACTAAGATAAAATGTTCGATATGTAAATTTCAGAGTATATGATGAAATACCGGCCTAAATGTGGATTGTTGCTGTTGCCAATAAACGAACGCGACCAGCTGCCGAGGAGTTCTCCACTCAAGCTCGACCACACCGCAGCTCCACCTCCAGCTTCTGCATCAAGTCGATCGACTGACATCGACCAGAACCCTCACAACCATCAGCTTTGAGCGTGCCACGACAACTCAGTTCATCATGTTGACGCCTACAACAACCACAACGCTGGCATTCCGTCTCGCCAGCCATGCTGCGCCCCGAACCGCCCTCCTGACAACGCTCGCACGTGCGACGCCCGCCTGCCAGTACACCACTACCGCGACGCCCTTCGTCAAACCGCAGGGTATTCTCGCCGCCAGGTCAATCGCTCTCGGCTCCTTCCGCCGCGCCGCGCCATCTGCACCGACTTCAATCCTCTCTCAAATTACATGCCGCTTCCAGTCAACAACTTCGAATACGGCGCGACCCGTGTCCCCTGAGGCAGGCCAGACCCTCGACTGGAACACATTCTTCAAGCTGCGCAAGACGCGCCGGCGATGGCAACTCGTGTTCAGCGTGACGATGCTTGGCGTTAGTGGCACTGCGGGAGCTATCTTCCTGTCGACCGGCGTGGCAGACCCGGTGCTGTCCCAGATTCCACTCGATCCCTTCGTCACGCTGGGCATCATGGTTCTGGGCTTCGCAGGTCTCGGCTGGCTTGCGGGCCCTAGTCTGGGCTCTACCGTCTTCAACTTGATCAACCGCAAGTGGAAGAAACAGATCACCAACGTGAGTTGACGTCAATCACGATATTGGGGGCATTGCTAATGTCTGTTGTTTTAATAGAAGGAGATTGAATTCTTCGGCCGTGTCAAGAAGAACCGCGTGGACCCCACCGCTTCGGGCGCTGGTAACCCAGGTTTGTCTTCCCGATTCATTATACGATAGACCATCCTAACGGGAAAACAGTGCCTGATTACTACGGCGAAAACATCTCGAGCGTTGCAGGATATCGCCAGTGGCTCAAGGACCAACGCGCATTCAACAAGAAGCGCACCAACTTTGTCTAGGGATGGACAATGCAGATGACTAGCTCGACAGCAAGTATTTCCTTTACATATGGTACTATGAGATTCAAGGTTTCATGGGCGTTGGCTATCCTTGCACACGTTGTAGCACAAGGGTGGACTTGGCAAGGACAGCAAAGAATGTATGTACAATCACGGGCACCTCATGCCCCATCAAGTTCCATTACCCATCATGTGAAGGGTAAGCTAGAGTCTACCTCGTCTTTCCAAGCCCTCATCCCACCCTTGATATCGCCAATGAATCGCTTCCCATCACGATCTAACCCCAAGTCTTTAAGCCGACGGGTCGCCAGCTGCGAGTCGTTGCCCACGCGGCACACCACGTAGATCGGGGTATCATCTGAAGAGTTTGCGGGTAACCATGATGGTCTTTTCCCAGCATCTTGCTCCTGAACAGGGTTCTCCTTGAGGAACATAGCTAACGGCAGGTTGATGGCGCCCTCGATGCTGCAGATATCAAAGTGCTCCTTTTCTCTGACATCCAGAAGAACGCGCACAGCTGAACCCTTCTGTAACTGGCCAAAATCCGCCGCAGATAGCCTCTCCTCTGGTTGCAGGATGTTCAGCGGCGCCGCGATGCCACAAAACTGAACGTAGTCCAGGGATCCTGATTCTAGCGACTCTAGTGTCAGAGCCGCCTCGGGCGAACATGCAAAGCAGTCCTTCTTACGGCCTCTCATTCGGACTGATCGGAACGGGGCACCGGCTGTGCCTGAGAACAGCAATAGCGACGGCGAAGTGGGCTGAAAGCCAGAGGATATCAGTTTGATGGCCTCCAGCGCCTGCAGCACGCCCATGACACCGACAACGGGGCCCAGGATGCCGCCTTCTCCACAGCTGACGACGCTATCTGGCGGTGGTGGTTTGGGGAAGACGCAGCGGTAACATGGGCCGCCTTCCTCCACCGGCGCGCCTTGCGGTGCTGCGGGGTTGTTGAGCACGATGAGCTGCCCATCGGTCTTGAAGGCTGATGCTGAGACGAGAGGCTTTCGCAGAAGAACACAAATGTCGGAGATGAGGTATCGAGACGTCGGATGGTCAGTGCAATCCAGCACAATGTCGTACTTTGCGACGATGGACTCGGCGTTTTGGGGGGTTAGATGCGTGATGTGCGCGTTGAGGGTCACGTTTGGGTTGAGACTGGTTCGTCAGCGAATGTGTGGTAAGCATTGCGGGAACAGGGCACATACTCTCGTAGGAAGGCCAATGCGCTCTCCACTTTTGATTTCCCAACTCTTGACGTGGCATGAGCTATTTGACGATGCAGATTCGACGTCTCTACCGTGTCGCCATCCACGAGCCCGAGAGTACCAACGCCGGCGCCGGCAAGGTAAGCTGCTGCAGGGCATCCTAAGCCTCCGGCGCCAACGACAAGGACCGAAGATGCTTTGAGTCGTATTTGGCCTGTGTATTGAGTGATCAGTGTTGACACGGCAAGTTTATTACTCTAGGACGACCGACCCTGAATTCCAACTGTTGGTATTATGAGCTGGCGGCCGTATCGCTCATATTCTCCTGCGGTCAGCGGCCACTTCCATGTCGTATCAGGTCTTGGCCTTTGCTGTCCATCTGCCTCGACGACAGCTCGAGCAAGCTCGTTTTTCAATGCGCATAGCTCGTTCTCGGCCTCTATGACCTTCTTCCTTAGGATCTCAACCTTGTCCATCATTGATGATAGCGGGGCAGGTTCAAAGTTGTGCATGGCAGCAGTCATCAGTCAATGACTGACAAGCCCATTTGGCGGGGTGGATGGGGTCCCTGCACGCCTTATCGTTGGCCCCATAAAGGTGCCCCCACCTTGAATTTTTGTCACTGACAGGCCAAACTCCAATGCTTCCCAAGTCGTCGGTAAACCTTTTGCCTTCGACTGCGAAACTCGACAGTGACGGAGCTGCCACTCGACTGTCTACACAATGGTACGCGATCGCAGGAAAGGAACAACGCTGGCACTTTTGGGAGACATTACTGACCATGCAAGGCTCCCACCGCGCCCCCTAAGATGTCCGCGCGCGCGGCGCGCCTTGCCCGCATCTCAGGCGCAATGCATCCCCTTGCACCCACCAAGACGCACCGCGCCGAGGCCAACGTCCCCGACGGCTTCCTCTCGACAAAAAAGGACAAGCGCGTCATGAAACACAGCGGCTTCATCTCCAAGATCAATCACGTGTCGCCCGGCGTCAAGGCCCTCAAGCGGCGCCGCCCCAACAAGAAGCTCGTCGCCACCATGGAGTCCCTCGCCGATGCCCTGCCGGAGCTGACGAACGAGGCGGACGGAAACGTCGCGCAGCTGCGCGAAGGACGCGTGCGCCACAAGAGTCTCAAGAGCCGACCGGGCGCGCTGAAGAGGAAGGAAAAGGTTGTGCGGGGCGAGATGGCGCGATTCGGCGCCAGCATGGCTGCTCTCGCGGCGACGCCCGAGGCGACGGCGGCGGCGGAGAACCAGACCATGACCGTGGAGGACACCACAGATACTCCTGCCGCGCCGGCACCAGCGACAACAAATCGGTGGGCAGCTCTGAGGCGGCACATCTCGACAACAATGGAGCAGAACCCTGCCTTCACCGGCCAGGGTGCCGGCGATTGAGGTTTCGGGACGGAGGCCTACACATATCAATATGAAGATCTAAAATGACCAAAGGCATCAGACACGCTGTCACTGGCAGAAAGCCAATGGTAGTGACGCACCATACCAGGCATACAGGGAACCACGGCTGTCGGTGCTCCAGCCTGGTCTGGAGTCCCTTCTCTGTTGGAACACATTCTAAGGAACCGCAATCCAGCCCACAGTGATACAGCAAGGCGCTGGCGGAGCAGGCACAAGGACCAAAGCGTCAGTTTCCTAGTCCCAAACATAGCATCGCGGTCACTATGGAAGACCAACGATATACCCAATTCGACGTGTATTGAGTACAATGCGAGATATCAGCTGTTCACTACTCATGCGTGTCGTCGTTTCTTCTCATTCGCTCATTCGCGCAAAAGCAACTTGCATAACCGTTAACGCCTCCGAGAAAGTTCCAGGTATCCTCATTCGCAAATCCCCGCCCGCCCCTAATTTGTCCCGCTATAGCTGGCTCATCTGATAATGCAGCCACCATGGTATGACGCGAAGCGCGCTCTCCTGGCGCGGTCCAGACAGGCCACTGACTACGGTCAAGCTGGGTTACTTGTTGTCCGCGAACAATGACCGTGGTCACAGGGCTTCTGCTTTCGCGTCATTGGTTGACCCACGGTCTTCAGCCTGTGTCGAAGAATGTCGAATGACCATGTTGTACAGCAAGTGATCTGGCTGCTGTTTCGTCGTCATACTCCAGCTGACGTTGGCTGGCTTGCTACGTCTCCTCCCATGCCCAATATCGACCATTACTCGATCCGCGGCGGTGTCTTGGACGAATAAGGCGATGCGCTTCTTCTACGGGTGAAGTGGTTAGCAAGCGGGCATTCGTCAAAACTAGGCAAGGCTGGACGTACGATCGTCTCCTCTCGCCTTCCTTACGGAAACTTTCGATAATCTTTAACATTTCCTTCCTGCCACCGTGGCTGTCAATCATCTTATTGCCCATGCTCATGCTGACCTTCTCGCGGGCGTTAGCGCTGAGCAGCCGCTTGACGAGCAGGTGGCGCATCAGGATGCAGACGAAGACGCCACAGTCAGAGCCGTTCTCCTGTTGCGGGCAGTCTTCGAGGTTGAGGAAGCGCAACGGGCGGTTAAGGATCTCGGACATTTTGCGAGTGGCGAGACGAGCTTCCTGATAGTTCGCGCCGCCGAGAGAATCATAGTGAAACGCGACACCGTCAATAGCCGATACGAGGAGCAGGGACCAATGCGAACCGCCCTCGGCCTGTGCAACGTTGCGAGCGTCGTTGATTGGAAGGAAGATGTGGGTGACCTTGGAAAAGTCAGGCAGCGCAGATCGAATGGCGCGCATATCGGGTTCCTTCATGAGGAGGAATGTCATGGAGGGGCGCAAAAGGATGATGCGGGCTTGCGGGTACTTGGGAAGCAGTTCGCGTTCGAGGTATCTGTCACGGTCAGAAGGGGGGTACAGGCGCGCCGTGGCGATGTGACGAACTCTTCCCAGAAAGCAATGTTCTACAGACAGGTTAGTTAGCGCCAGCATGACACGGTTGTTAGGTCGGGTAGCGCACGTTATCCGTCAACCAGTCATTCTTCAACGCCTTGAGATCTTCGTATGTAACTGGCGGCGGTGGTGAGCAACGGGAGCATGGACCGGGCAGCGCAAGGCCTGGCCCGACGGGAGCGACGTACGAGTGATGTCGTGGTCTGTAAGGCGCGGGAGTCAGTCAGGCGCCGCTGCTTGCTGGTTACTTATTGGGACTCTGACTTACACGACAGGACGGTTGAATGCGGCGAAAGCTACGAGACAGTACGTCAGCGATTTACTGCCCGTCTTTCGGTTTGCGCAAGCGTAGCAATGCCGGTAGGCGTGATGCGAAAGACGGCCACGCTGCCCAAGCTTCCTCCTAGTGAAGACGGCCGCGTCGCATCGTCCCGGTAGCTGTCTGGGTTCTTGGGGAGGGGGCTCACAGAGTCGCCAAAGTGGCGGGCCATTTTGCGAAACGGCATGGCGAGGCGCGACTCGGGCTTTGGCGAGCTCGAGTGGACAGGCGCTGCTGTGAGAGATTCGCCGCTCGAAGTGCTCGAGTGTCGGCTGCGACTGTGGCTGCGACGTGAGGGACGAAAGGCGAGGTCGGCAAAGTCGCGGAGGCGGCTGCCGCTGACACGACGTAGTCAGGCGTTAGTGATGATCGTCGACTCAGAGGGAGTTCGGAGCGCTCGGGGATCAACAAAGACAAGAGGGGGTATCCAGTGGGGAGGAAAGGTAGATATGTGCAAGTAAATAACAGAACAGCAACTGACAAGGTCGAGCCGAGCGGTTGGAGCAATGGCAATCAACAAGTCGGCGGGCCAAAAGTCAATGCAAAAGATGATTTCCAGCGGGGTGAAAGAACTGGAGAACCTGTGAACAGACCAGCCCTGCCCGTTTGGACTGGGGTTCAAAGGTTGGGATCTGACTCCAGCGACAGGCTACGAAGTGGAGGCAGCCGGTCCGGGTAGCCCAATGAGGCTGAGCGGTCTGATGTCGTCGTGGCTTGACCGCGCGGACAGATGCACAGATGGGATACTGAGGGGCAGAATGCGGAGGGGCTGATAGAGCTGATAAGAGACTCAGTACACACCTTGGGGTGGTCGGTCGACCTTGGCTCTCAAGCATGTTGGGCAGTTGGTGAAAGTGCTGCGAGGTGTGTGATGAAGAGTATAGAATAGGGTAAAGAAAAACGATGCAGGCACTGAATCCTGGGTTTGGGCAAGTCGTCAAAATCCGGGGTGACTGCCAACCTAGTGACAGGTAGCCTACGTCACATCGGGCGGTCGATGTGATGCCTTTGAATGCTGGCTGATGTGGCTGATGTATCGTGCATCAAGGTATCGACGGCAACCAATCATGTGGGGGGGGACTTTGCCCAAACTGTCATTGGTAGGTACCAGAACTTCACCTTACATTATGTGAGGTTTTGTACCACTTGTACGACTTGCTTCCCTTGTCATGTCGCGATGCTTTACAGTCCAAGAAATGTGGCTCGACATCGCCACCCCACAATTGGGCTTCTATTGTCCATCAAGAAAGGCCATACACAAGGCCTCCAGCTCCTCTCCAAGCCGTGATTGATACCTTGTGACGCTAACGATTGCAGTGCCGCCGTGAAAGACTCAACCGCCGGAATTGGGACTTCCTCGTGGAACTGCGTCCCACGGTACCATATTGTTTGAGGCCACGACATCGTCCGCAATACTCAAAACTGTTAGCTGTCGCCGGCCACCTGGAGTTCTGGACTTGTTCCTCGTCCGCGCTTCATATCTTGTGAAGCTCCCCTCCTCGCACTCGACGACAACCTCTAAAACCTCAGTGCTACTAAGTTAACACAAAGCCCGCGCTTCCAGATCAGGCCTTTCCAGGCAGTGCAAAAGGTTTGGACGACAAGCTTAGGACGCTTGCCAGTCGGCACGATGCGTGAACTGGGAATCGAACCCAGGGCTCCCCGATGGCAACGGAGAATTTT